TTGATGTCTGTGGGTGCTCGGATGCGGATTGCTAAGGGTTCCAGAGCCAGGATAAATAAGAAGGGAGACAGTGGGCATCCTTGTTTCGTGCCTCTTTGGATAGCTATAGTATTAGAATCCATATTGTTAGTTCTGCATTTTGCTGAGGCTTGGGAGTATATTTGTTTGAGGATTTGTAGGAAGTTGGGGCCAAATTTCATGTTAGTTAGTACTGCTAATATGTATTTCCACTCTAAGCAATCAAAGGCTTTGAGGATGTCTAGGGACATAATTGTCAATGGGAGTTTGGTTGCCTTGCTGTGTTCAATCAGGTTCAGTAGTTTCCTGATGGGGTCTGTTATATTGCGGCCAGGGACAAAGCCAGTCTGGTCTGGGGCTATTAACTTGTGTAGGAAGATTTTTAGGCAGTTGGCCAAGATTGATGTGAATATCTTGTAGTCTTGGTTTATTAATGAGATTGGGCGGTATGATTCTACTTTGAGGCTGTCTTTTAGTGGTTTTGGGATGGAGACTATTTTGGAGTGGGTCCAGGTTTGGGGGATGGGGCCCCCTTTTATGATGTCGTTGAATAGGCAGGTCATGTAGGGCATCAAGGGTTCTTTGAATTTCCTATAGAATCCTGCTGTGAAGCCATCTGGGCCTGGGGCTTTGTGTGGTTTTAGGTTTTTGAGGACTGCATCTATTTCCTCTGGGGTGATAGGGCTGTCCATGAATTCCTGTTCCTCATCAGTTAGGGTAGGCATGGACAGTCCTGCTAGAATTTTTCTAATTTCCTTCTCTGGTGGGTTATGGGAGGTGTATAGGTTGGAGTAGAATTCTGCAAATTCTGAGGTTATTTCTTCGGGGGAGAATGTTATGTTGCCGTCTTTTTTGGTGATGCAGTGTATTCTTGTTTTGAGTGCTTTTTTCCTACATCTATTTGCTAGTAATCTGGAGTGTTTCCTCCATATTCGTAGAAACGTTGTTTAGAGTATAGAATGTTGATCATTGTTTTGTTAATTTCTAGGAGTCTAGTTCTCTCCTTTTTTGTTCTATAAGTTTGAGGAGTTTTTAGATCCTGTTTGTTTGTAGCGTGATGAGAGGGCTGTGATGTCTTGTTCTATTTTGCTAATTTTTGAGGAGGTTTGTTTTTAAGGAATGTTTTCTCTTTTATGCAAGCTCCTCTGGTGACCGCTTTCATTGCGTCCCATAGGAGGGGGGTTGTTATATTGTTTACATCGTTTTCCTTGAAGTAGTTTTGGAGGGTTTTTGTGAGACTCTCTCTAATTTGTTTGTTTGTAGTTAGGATGTGACTGAAGGACCATGATGGGGTGGTTTGTGTTCCTTCTCCTATTTTAACGATGACTTCTACTGGGGCGTGATCTGTGATTTTAATGTTACCTATGTTTGTTGATTCCACTGAGGGGATCAGACCCTGTGTGAGTAGAATGCTGTCCAGTCTGGACACTGTATCATAGCGTCCCAATTGGAATGTATGGCTGATGTCTCCCGGGTTTTGCTCACCCCAAATGTCGTAGAGACCCCTGTTTTTTAGCATTTTTAGTAACTTGTAAGGGTTCCTAGTTGTTGGGGGTTTCCTTCGGAGGAAGGTTGTAGGGTGGATATCTTTCAGGGATATACCTTTCATATTTAGATTGAGGTCCCCTCCTAGGATTGCTTCCCCTTCAGAGAAGGAGAGGAATTTGTTTAGTGTCTTCTGGAAGAATTCTAATTGTTTCGTGTTTGGGGCATATATGGAGCCGATTGTCAGTTTGATTTTGCCATCTAGTGTCCCTTTAGCGAAAATGAATCTGCCTTTTTTTGTCCTTGAGGACTGTTGTGGCAGTGAAGTTCAGGTCTCTACTGAGTATTATGGCTACACCACGAGCTTTCCCTGAGCCTCGTGCGACCCACTGTTGACTGAAGTGGGGGTCGCTCAGGAGTTTGCTGCCTTTGGGTGGGTTGTGTATTTCTTGTAGGAAGGTGATGTGTGGTTTCATGGTGTTTATGTATGAGGTGATGCGTTTTCTTTTGATGGGGTTTCCCAGCCCCCTCACGTTTAATGTAATTGCTTTTAGGTTAGCCATCTTGCTTATCTATTATGTGGGGCGATTCCCTGCCAACCCGTTTGGGTTGTCTTGTATCTCTCTCTTTGTGTTGTTTAAAGTACCAGTGGAGTTGCGCTGACCTTGGGTGTGGTGGGTGTGGGGCTAGTGGGATTAGAGTGAGATTTGGGTTAAAGAATAGGGGGTAAGTTGTAGGGAGTTTCCTATATGTAGCCATATAGGTGTTTGTTTGGGGTATTTTGGGCCATCTGGCATTTAGCCGGTTGGTCCTAGGTCTCAGCTTGTGTGGAAGGCCATGTTCAAGGACAGGCCATCCCCCCTGTTGTTTGCGATAGGGGGTGATCAGCGAGACAGTGTGAAGTGACTTTGTAACGTCGCTGTCAGGTATAAGGTTCATAAACAATGTTGCCAATGTTATGAGCAACATTGTTGGTGTGTTGGGGTGGGGATGTGGGTGCTGGTATGCTCTGGTGCCACCATAGTGCTGGTTGGGTATCAGATTTTAGCCTGATTGTGGGTTGTGTTATTAAGGTTGGAGGAGTTGTTTTTTCTTAGTATGGAGTATGGGGATGTTGAAGGTGTGGGTGATGGGGAATGTGGTTGAGGTCGTCTGGACTGCTGTTGTGGTGGGGATTTCTGTGGGGGTGCGGGGCTGGGGGGGATGTTGATGGTGTTAACTAAATCTATGTTTTGGGGGGGGAGAGAGGGGGAAAGGGGGGGGAATCACCAGTCCTTCAGTTTGTGGTTTTTTTCCTGGTTGCTTCATTCAGCTGGGGTTGTTGTTGTTGTAGGGTTGTCCATCTGCGATGAATTGGTTTGGTTAATCTTGGTCTGGTTTCTTGTGTCGTATGGCCGGCGGGACGATTCTGAGCGTGATGCTTCTCTGTATTGGTTTGCATTGTTGTGCCGCTTCTGTTGTTTCTTTTTCTTCTGTACCGTCGTCCAGTTGTTTGCTGTTGTTTCCTCCTGGTTGGGGCTGTCACTTGGTGGGTTTGTCGGTTGCCATTCCGGTGGGAGGTCGAGTTCAAGGTTCTTTAGTAGTTGCAGGGCCTCAGGTATGTTGGTAGCCATGTGTTGTGTTGTATTGGTTGTTATAATGAGGCGGAAGGGGAAGCCCCATTGGTATTTGATCCCTGCTTGTTGGAGACGCTGGGTGCATGTGCGCAAGCTTTTCCTCTGGTTTAGGGTATCCTGAGATAAGTCCTGTAAGGCCAGAATGGGGATTTCTTCATATCGAAGGTTGGTTGAGTTTCTGAGGTGGTTCCATACCTTTGTAGCATGTGAAGCATACAATGATGTCTCTTGGGGGGGCGCTGGGTTTTGGCATAGGTTTTAGGGCTCTGTGAGCCCTCTCCAAGTCATCTGCCTCAAGTTTCAGGCTTGGGATTGTGTTTTTCAGCCAGCGTATAATTAGGTCTGCTGGGCTTTTCTCTGTTTTTTCAGGAAAGTTGCGGAAGCGGATGTTACAACATCTATTGCGGTCTTCAAGGTCGGCTTGCTTAATTTTCATCTCTCTGTGTTCTGCTTCCATTTGGTTTACCAGTTCATCCAGTTTCTTGTTCACCCGTGCGTTCTCCTCCCGGTATTGCTCTATTATTCTTTCTTGCATTTGGTTCTTGTTCTCTAGAGCTTCCACTTTGGAGGTTAGATTGTTGATTAGTACCTGCATGGGAGCCATTGTGGCCTTCAGTGTTTCTTCTAATCGTGCTTCTAATCTTGCTTCCATTTCTCTCAAATCTTGTTTCGTTATTGGGTGGTCATCATCTTGAAGGGGAGTTACCGTCTTAGCATTGTTTGTCATCTCCCTGGTTGGTGTCATCTCAGTCTCCCTGATGGTTTTGGTTTGAGGTTGGCTTGGTGTCCTCTTGGAGTAGGGCGTGTGGTGGTTAGGAGTTGTGGCAGTGGTGATTCCTGGGTATTGTTGGGTTGCTGAGCTGATCAGGTGTTCTTGGCTGGTGGCTTTTACAGAGCGTTTGGATTAGGTGGTCATTTGTGTCACTTCTAGCCTGTATTTTAAGAACTTCTCTAGGGTTTCTGTAGTTGCCTCAGCGGTGCCGCCAAAGCGGGGGGGGGGGCAGGTAAGCAGAGATGGGTAGACTAACGGACAGACAGTTCATATAAGGGGAGGGGGGGTTAGCAGGTAGAGATGCAAAAGATTAGAAGGGTGGGCCCAGGGGAAATATGTGTTTAGGAGGGGGTTGTATATACCCAAAAGGGGTACTGGGGTCCAGTTAAGGTGGGAGTTGGGGTTGGGAGTGCGCTCAGAAACAGAGACAGACAAATAGGCTATATGTAAAGGGTGGAGGGAGAAAAAGGAAGAAGAAGAAAGAAAGAAGAAGAAGGGGGGAGACGGGGAGATTGGAGTAAAAGAGGAGAGAGAGAGAGAGAGAGAGAGAGAGAGAGAGAGAGAGTTGAAAGAGAGAGGAGAGTTGGTACAGTAATATCAGCGGTAATAGATTGCAGCAATAGTTTTAGCTATAGTATGAGGGGGGCCAAGTATGATACGGTGATATGAATGTGTGTATGTGTTTCCTTTAGGAGAAGGGGAGGGGGGATGGAGAAAGGGAGGAGGGAGAGAGAAGGAGAGGAGGAGGGGGAAGGATGGGAAAAGGAAGGAGAAGAAAAGAGAGGGGGAGAGAGGGGAGGGGGGAGGGAGGGTAACTGTGGCAATGGTATGGGGGGAAAGTCTTATTTTAAAAGAGGGGTGGGGGAAAGGGCTCCCCCCTCAAAAACAAACTGACAAACAGGCTAAAAAGGGGGGGTTGATTTTAAAAAATAAAGGGGATAGAAAACAAAGTTGGGGATGGAAAGTGAAGGGTGGGATAAAAGGAAAAAATAAGGAGGGGTGAAGAGAGAGAGAGAGAGAGGAGAGCAAAAAGGAGGAGAAAAATAAAAGGGGGGAGTTGGGGAGAGTATCAATAGCAATAGCAGTGATATGGAGAAATTTTTTGTTTTAAAAGAGAGTGGTGGTCATAGCAGGGGGCGAAGGATTTCCCCCTCAAGAAGAAGCTAACAATTAGAATAGAAAGGGCTTTAAAAAGAGGGGGGGAAATTGTGTGTGTTTTTTTCTTTAAAAAAAAAACTATTTTCCCCTAATTATTATTATTATCCTTTGTTTGTAAAAAAGTAATTAAAATGTACGGGTAAAAGATAAAAATGAGAAATGAAGGTTAAAAAAAAAGGTTTTTTGTTTTTATATATATATAGATGGATAAAGTTATTTTATTTTTAAAAATGTGTAAAGTGCGAAGAGGATAGGTAAAAGAGAGTGGAAAGTCTGGGGCGAAGTGGCAGTCCCAGGAAATGACCTGTGTTGTTTCAGGGCTCTTTTATGGATACTGCCATTTTAATTCTTAAGACGGGAGTTTGAGGTGAAAATAAAATGAGGTTTAAATTGAGGGTGTGTGTGTGGAAAAGTGTGTCTTTAGACAGTGTGTAGAAAAGGTAGAAATAAAAATAAAAATTCAAATAAAGGGTGGCTGCAGCAGCAGTGCCCCCTCTTTTAAAAAGAAAAGTGATAAAAGTAGGTATATGGGGGGGGAGGGATAAAAAAGATATATATATATTTTTTAAGGGGGGAGGGAGGGGGAGGAAGGGGTTAAAAAAAGGGGTTAAAAAAAAGAAAGGGGGGAAAGGTAGTTTCTTCCTTTCTGCGATCTCCTTTGTCATGCAGCTTCTCTGTGTTTTCCTTGCCGCTGGAGCTCCGGTCGGGCTCAGCCACATGTTTTTTCGGAGCCTCTTTTGCCTTCCCGTGCTCACCTACCTCTCATCTTATTTCCCGTCGGCAGAGATGGGGGCAGCTCCTTTTTCTTTCTTTCTTTCTTTCTTTTTCTTCCTCTCTCCCCCTTTCTTTCTCCCTCTTTGCGTTAGCTCCACTGTCCTCCTGGTTTTGGAGCTCCTCTCGGCTGTTGGGGGTAGTGGTCGGGTGCCTTTCCAGCTCAATCTCAGTCGTGGGGGGGTTGTTTTGGCTCCTTTGATAGACACCCGGGCACCCCCGATTCCTCTCCACTGGCGGTGCTGGCGGCAGCAGTCCTGGGAGCCCAGGTGTCGGCCAGACAGAGCCTTTTACTCTCTGCTAGCTTCTTCCTGAGGCAACTTCTGAACATCCTCAAAGGATTCAGGTTCACATCTAGCCACACCTACCCAGACGCTAGTGGCTTCGTACCTTTCTGGTGGCTTTCCCTTGGTTGACCTTGCTGACCTCCTCAGCGTGGACTCTGGAACTGCGCCTGATTCACTTGGGCCAGCCACACCATCCCCTGTGTCAGAAACCTTCCCCTCTGACCTGCTGCGCCTTTTTGGCCTCACAGCTGGGTCTGCTGGTGAGGATGGCTCACTCCCTGGCTCAGACTTGACAGAGACCTGTGGAGGGGTCTTGGGACTCCCCTTTGAAGAGGTTCGGAGCCTCTCCCTTGGAGATCCCGGCTCTGGACTCTGTGGCTGTGGACTGTGCACCTCAGCAACAGGTTCAGCTTCGTCCTCCTCCTCTTCCTCATCTGAGTCAAACAGAACATCTGGGTTCCCGTGAAGACGTTTCCACCCACTCTGCTCGCAAAACTCAGCACTGCCGCTAATAAGCAGCTTAGACTGGTTGCCAGTAGGGTATGCGAAACGCCATGCCTTTGAGCCCGGCTCATAGCCTACAAATATCATTTTTCTAGATCTTGGTTCACCCTTTCTGAGAGTGGCCTTTGGAATGAGGACCCAAGCCTCACAGCCAAACACACGCAAGAAATCCACTTTGGGTTTCTTCCCATGCAGCAGAAAGTAGGGCGTGTCTCCCACACTTGAATTGAACACCCTGTTCTGAACAAAGCATGCCGTCTTATAACTCTCGGCTCAAAAGCGCTGTGGCAGACCCGAGTCTGCCAGCATAGCATTCGCTGCTTCCTGTAGGGTGTGGTGTTTTCTCTCTGCAATTCCATTCTGTTGCAGACTGTAGGGGGCAGTCAATCGATGACTGATACCTTTCTGCCTGAAGAAAGATTGCAGCGCAGAACCTGTGAACTCCGCCCCCCGATCAGATTGAAAGGAAACCACCCTGGCGGAGAAACGCAGCTCTACCGCTGTGATCCAATCCCTGATCAGTGCAGCCGCCTCCCACTTGTGTTTAAGTGTAAACAGCCAGGTGTGTCTTGAAAAATCATCAATCAGAACCAAAACATGCTTCGATCCACTTAAAGAAGCTACCTGCATCGGCCCACATAAATCTGCATGAACCAGCTCAAAGGGTTTGCTGGTCCTCCTTTCTGACCTGGGATATGTGCATGTCGTGACCTTTGATTTTTTACAAGCTTGACAATCTAAGTACATGCCTTGAACCCACACCCAATTGTGTTCTCTGCGGCTTTCTTAATATATGACCACCCTGCATGTCCGAATCTGCGATGCCACAAATGTAAACAATCATGGTGTGGTGGTACATTTGCACACTGCACTTGTGCTTCTTCAGGGGACTCTGCAACAGTAGCATCAGTGACAGGCATCTGCACCAGAAAAAGCCTGTCCTTCCCCCCATCCCTGTAGAAATAACACATGTTGTTAGTAAACACCACATCAAACCCATCAGCAATAAGAGCTGATACACTTAAAAGAGAATGAGCAAGCTCAGGGACCACATAAGCTTGCACCTCATGATCTAGAAAGGGACAGTATAAAAAACCAGTCTCAGTTAACTGTCTCTTAGAACCATCTGCCATCGTGATAAAACATCCAGATTTAACTGTCTTGCAATTTCTCAGGAGCCCACCAGATGGCACCAGGCTGTGGGTCGCTCCCGTATCGACAACAAGAGATAAAGTTTTCCAAGGTTGCCATGGCGATGCTCGCACCCCCACCAGGGTCTCTGCCAGTGTCCTTCCTGGCTGCCATGGTTGCTGCAAGGCTTCTGCCGGTGTTCTCACGCTTCGCCGTCTGAGAACCGTTGCTTATCTGCCTTAGCAGGTGGCTGACCTTGCATTCCAACGCCTCTGCAGAACAATGCCCTTTGCTGTTGGACTTTGCCTCAGAGCACAAACAACTCTTGGAGACTTTGGCTTTCCCAGAGCTCTTGGAACGGCCTGCACCCCCATTCCTGGGTGCCCAGCTGCCTGAGGAACAGATTGCTACTGCCTTCCTCTTCCCAGCTCTCAGCCTGTCTCCCAGACCATCACACAGACGTGCCGAAGCATAGAAACAGCTTCCCGGAACAGTCCCAGCCCCCTCTGGGCTTAGTGCTCTCTCTGGGCATTTTTTAGCCCCCTCTGGTCTGGCTCCCACTGCAGCCTGACATGCCGTCTTCAGTGCCTGCCATGCGACCCAGGGCTTCTTCCCTTGAAGGTTTGGCAACAGCCAAGCATCAATGCTGGCCCTTAAAATGGCTAGCACCCTTTGCTCTCTCTCCAGAGCAGCAGCCACGTCTGCTTCACAAGCTTCCACTGCTCCTGCAGACCTCTCAGCCTCTGCAGCTGCAGCACTGGGCTGGGCAAGAACTGGTTCAGCCTGTGTACACTCCCAAAGCTGTTTTTCTTCCAGCCAGTAGTACATGCGCTTAGACCAGCTTCCCAATTGGCCCCATTCAGTCTTTCACCGGGGTAGCTCTCATGGCCTTGCTGTGGCTGAGCAGCCATCTTCCTCCCCCCGGGGCTTAAGCGTACTCACGTGTTGCCAGCTAGCTGGTCCTCCGCAGCAGCCTCCTCTTGGCTCCGCTCTCCACCAGCGTCTCCCACTGCCCTTCCTGGCAGGAGCTCAAAGCAGCTCAAAGCTGGCAGCCTTCTTCCCTCCTCACACTTGGCAGGAAACACGGAAGACCCATAACCTTTGGCCATTAAATCCTGCCGTCCAGTCAGCACTTCCCTGCGTAGTTCTGCTTGGGGCTGACCTGGGCAGGAAAACAGAGTCACAGCAGTCCTGCCGTCCGTGTGAGATAGAGGGATAAATCAAGTCCAGAGACAGTTCGTTGCTATCTCTAAGAGTGTTTATTTACAAGCCATAAATCCATCAGAACTTTCCGGCATCTCTCCGTGCTAAAAGCACACACAGCTTCTTTTGCAGCGTCTCTCAGTCTAAAGTGAAACCAACTCTCACAGACAACACAGACAAAGCCTGTGACATACGGCCCTGCGTCAGGCCCCTCCCCAGATACAGGACACCAAGGAGTTTTAACCCTGTAAACTCCAAACTCCACAGTTTCTTTAAATGTATCTTGTGTACTGAGGCAGAAACTTGTGTCAGGACAGTAAGGATTTAAGGGCAAGTGCCTGGTAGCTTAGAGTGCCTTAGAATTAACTACCCCCCTTCCAATTCAGGAAATACTTTGGATTATTATTACATTTATATCCCGCCCAGGGCAGCAAATGCCCAACCCTTCCAGACCCTTTAGGCCTTGTTCCCTGACTTACCATGGCAGGTGGGAGAGAAATCTCTCCTCGCTCCCATCTTGGCACTTGCTCTGCTGCCAGGCCTTTTCCAGCCGCCCAAATGACATTTCCCCAAGGCCAAAGGAGGGTTGGGGGAATCCGTGGCATCCTGCCAATGCACACCTCTCCGGAGAGGCCAAAATGGTGGTTCATGTGCTGTCAGTTTGCTCTTTGTACACAGCTTAGTGTAAAGAATTAATCGGCCCATTATCTCAATCTGAACATTTGCACACTTATTATTTGACTTTTCTCCTTGTAGTTCAGAATGGAGTTCCAGAAAGTTCCAGCTGAAAGGAAAAAAAGGCCCTGGAGCTTGGCAATTCCACCTGCTTAGTGTTTCTATTCCGTATACAAACCACAATGGCTGGTGCTTTTAGTTTGGTGATTAATATTCCCTGCTTATACACGTTTTTACCTCCTGCTCCAATTGTGAAGGCCAGTGGCCGCTGCAAATAAATCTTTCTCTCTCTGTGAAGTAGCAGCACTGTTCATTGGGTTGGATGGGAAAAGGAGGGAAAGATATTGGAAGCTGGGAGGAGGGCAAGAAAAGCATGACTCTGATGGATTAAAACTTGAGGCAGATAGCAATAGCTAGGTCCTGATGCTCACCTCATATTTGAGGCAAACATCAGAAATACTAGGCTAGCCAACAACACTATCTGCTTCAGTCTGTAGGGAGAGTGCTCACATGAGGGAATACTCGCTTCAACACACAGAAAACTAGAAGGTCGTCCCCCCTCCCCCCATTACCTGTTTCCTTCTTTTCTGTCTTGCAAATATCAAGTTTCTGCTGGAATTGGTACAGCCGGGCAGCAGCTTTCCTAGTTCAGGAAGAAGCAGGCCTCCATTTTGACCAGGAACACGCAGGTTGCAATCCTAAACCCACCTACCTGGGAGCCAACCGCACTGCAGGCAAGGGGTTTACTTCTGAGGAAATGCTGTGCTGAAGTAAAAAAAGTGCAGGCAAGGGTCCTGAATTGGCCCTTTAGGCCATTAGGACTAGAGTGCCCAACTGCCCATCTGCACCACTAACGAGAGTCATTATTAAAAGGAGAAAATTTGCAAAGACAAATCAGGTGAGGATGCTGATATATTAAGAACCCCACTGGGGGAGGGAGGGGAGAAATGCAAAGAAAGAAGACAGGGTGCAAGCAATTAGATGACAAGCCATTTTATTTTGCAAAACAATCACTATACAGCAACAAATACAATTGCAAATTGGATTGAAAAACATGAACTACCTACCACCAGCCATTCAAGAAATGCCTCTTTTATGATAACAGGCTCTAGAATTGCCAGGAAAAGAAATGGCTACACAGGCTGTGTAATGGCCTACTGTTGTTTCCTCCTTCTTCTTTTTGAAAAAAGGGAAAGGGGGAGGGGGAATCCCAGCACACAGAAGGCAATTTTATGTTTCTCTTTGCTAAAGTTGAAATGACTGTTAGGCCTGGCCTTACCAAATCTGCAAACTCACTATCTGCTTCATTTGTAATGGAATTTGCTAGGAGCAGCTGTGCGTGAGAGAGAAAGTTTCTGGATAGGCCTGCACAACCAAGCTGATCACCCCGGTCAACTGTGGGTGGGTGTCCTTTTGGGGGCTCAACAACTACTACCCTGTTTTTACGCTTCTAAGGAGGCAGCGAAACCAGAGGGTCTACCAAGCCGCTGGTGGGCTTAGGTCAGCCTAGCAGCTCTGAGACTGCAGCCCTGGCTTAGGTTGAAGCTTTGGCTTCCAGCTTCCTCCTTTATGTTGATTTGCATTATATCTTCTGGAAGGGAGTCTGGAATTCAGGACTACAGAAAAGCCCCTTGCATGCTTATTGTGACTTGGTGGTCCACATTTTTGGATCCTTCGGGATGTACACTAGGCAGACATAGATATTTGCAAACAGCCATTATGAAGAGAAAGGTTGCAGCTGTATAGGAGAGCATACGGTTAGATGTCTAATGCCATATATGTTCTATAGATAATATCCCAGTAGGCAAAAGGACTTATAATTAGCAGCTTGGACTACTGTTGCTGGACAAAAAAATGTCTGCCTGTCTGTCTTTTTTTTGTCTCATCATGCCTAGGATTACACAGAAGCAAATGCTATGTAAGCAGAGAGAAACAGAGGGATCCCAAGGGACAGATGTTTTCTTGATTGAACCATCTATGGCAGCCCTACATGTTTTTATTCATCTTCTCCACAAATTGCTAAGTGCACATTACTTCATTATACTTGAACTTACAAGAGCTTGTTAGTCAGTGTTACAGTGCCAGCTCCATAAAACCGACAAAGACGTGTTTTCCGATAATTGCAATAGGGCACAATCCAGCAAAATGTTATCTTGCTGACTTGAAGAACAGCAGTGCCCTTGTGTGGCTGTTGCACAAAATAACTCCCCCCTGAATTGTTGTGCTGTTAGCTTTTAAATGAAGCTTAGGCATGGGAAGTTAAGATTTGGCTGCCCCCCCCCTCCCGCTACCACCCCAGCGAAAATCTAGAGTCCTGTAACATAGTGTGTGCATTTCTTTTAATAATAACATGATCTCCTGCTGGCTCTTCAACTTGTACGACTTCAGCAAAATTCTGCAACTTTCTATGGAAGGATGATTATCGATTACAAGGACTTCTCTTTAAGATGAGAAAGATAAATTTGCAGCATGAAATTAATGACTCGGCAGCGTTGGACATATATACTCAATAAATAACTTCACCATCTAGAATGTGTTTATATCCCAAAAAAGCAGAATACAAAATAGTCACAGATTAAACACTGTTCTGACTGGCTGGCAATCAGCATCAGTCCACGTGAGGTTCAGTAGTACCTTGGGCACTCTCTCTAAGACTGGAAAAAGATGTAAAAACACTAAGAGGCTAATCTGCAAGAACCAATGGCATAGAGTAAGAGTGACAACATTTCATTAAAAATACTGTTCTTTTGCCTTTATTATTTTTTTCCTGAAGCGGTGGCGGTATGGACCCCTAGTCTGATCCAGCAGAGCTCTTCTTTTGTTCTTAGTGTTTGTATTTTGTACGATTATTCTAAGCAACATCACAGCCATAAGAGTCCTCCTGATGCACTGGTGTCTAAGCTAGGTTTTTTTTATTAATTATATGACTGCATCATAAACTGAATGAGGCATCTTACAACATGAGATTGCTTTTAGGATGTAATGTATAAGGGTATTACTTAGGCTTTCATTCATTCCACGGAATTAGAACAAGCTCTACAATACACTGCTGAAGTTTTACCTATTAGAAATAAGCTGATGCCATTTAGAAAGCTTTTTTAAATGAATATTTAAATGAATATGATCTAATTTAATTTTATAGAACTCCATAACTAAGGGAACAGTACTGGAATATATTGGAAGTCTGATCTGTGCATCTGATAATTTGGTTCTAGTTTCACATTTGCCATGGTAATTGTTTTAGTCTTTACGGTGCTACCAAGACTCATGGTTGATCATACCGTTGATGTTTTCTATCTTTAAAAACCATTTTAAAATCAGTACTGGATACATATTTTGTAAATTAAGGTGTTTAAGTGGTAGCCTTTTTCAAAAAGCTTCCAACATGTAAAATCATCCTAATGAACCGTTCGTGTACTTGAGAGCGTTCAGCTTGAGAGCATGCAAATGTTATGCAGGTGAATTTATAAGGAAATGAGCAATTGATCTGCAGGTTGAAATAAGTAATTATTATCATCTAGTCAAAGCTAACACACATAACATGAGTAGACATTTGTCCACTTATGTGTCATATTACCATACCACCAATATTCTCTTAGTGTCCATGTGGCAGTGGTGGAAATCCCCTAGACTCCACTTGTTTTAATGTCTTGGTGTTCTTGTCTTATTTCTTATTATACACACTTGTCATATACTTTTTATGCATTCTGCAGATTTATTTATCAGTTCCATCACCTTGGTGATGCTGTATAAGAAGCTTATTTAATTATGTTACCAGTAATCAACATGCATTATGTATGCATCTCTCCAGAGCATCATTCTCCGGAGGCATCTGAGCACATCTATGCAAAGATGCCATTAAAGGAATGGAAATGACTTCTGTTTAAACTCCCCCATTGTTTCTTGGAATTTCAACTTTAGCAAAAGAAAATAAATAAATAACTTTATATTCCTCTCTTACTGGAGGATTTTTTAAAAATGCCAAAAAATGAACCATTGTTTTATTTTATTAATTTAGAATCCAAATCCATCTTTTTGGAAAACTTTTTTTAAAAAAAGATACTTGGACCCCATATAGTCATGGTGAATTAAATAATTAAAAAAAAAGAATGAGGAAGTACAGGAGAAAGAAGGGAGAGTATTTTTTCTTGTATCACAGAAGAGACTTGCACCTGCACTAAAACAGGGTCACAGTTTTGAGATGTCACAGAAAGCAATTTCATGCTAAAAGATCTTTGCCTTTTTGTATTTTTTAAAAGTCTGAATAGGGAAATAAAAACCCTGCTAACATCTACTTTTACATACCTAAAATTGCAACACCAAAGGGTGCAAGAGACACAGATGCTGTGAATAAAGAAGTAGAATATTCAAGTATGAGAGGGCGTATCACAAATGGCCACAGAGAAATATATATCTATAATAATACTGTATCAAACAGATGGAAAGGATGTGAAACCAGTAGTGCAGACACAAACCTAGCTGCTTAACCAACATTCTAATCAGACACAATTCCATTGCTTATTTTCTGTAGCTGCTTTTAGAAAAGAAAAATGCCACTTCCCCAGTACAGTTCATATGATCCCCCCCCACTACTTTCTTTAATTATTAGTTAAATAATTTATTGGAATCAGCTATACACCGACATAATTATCCAAGTTCAACAACGTTAATAACTTAATTGACTCTTTCTTCTACCCATTTATATAAAATAACCCAACCCTGCACACCCCCTTTTGAAGCTTTGACATCTTTATTTGCCCTTCTGCCTGGTATTCAGACTCTCCAGTTTAATTTAACCTGTTAGTAAATTACAATGGGAGATGTTCCTTAATTCCATCCATCAACAAAATGGTAAAATGAGCAACTCAAGGTATTTAACAAGGCTCCTCAAAAAGTGGTAGATGGATGGCCTTCAGGCACATGAAAGGTAAAAATGCATTGTATCATAGTACAGTACTCCATGCAAGACAGGGCAGAGCGACAATTATTGTCCAATGTAATATACTGAAATTGTACCCACATAAAAGCCAGTGTCTTCCTGTAAATGGAAATCAGGCCAATTTCTGCATCTATATATAACTTTCCCCCAGTTTTTATTTTATGGTTACTACAGTCTTGGGATGTGACTTAATTTTAGACATGGTAAAGAATGAATGTTAACACCTGCTCAGAGCCCATTCCTGGCAAGAGCTCATGCCTAAATATTATTACTTCAAACACTGCTAAATGAAGCAAATTCATAAGCCCTGTTTAGCTAGGGCTGCAGTGACATCTTCAGCGAGAGTAGCAAGCTGAGGAGATTCAAGCAGGTTGATGCTTCCAGAGGATGAGACGTTGCTGAGCCTCCGTGGGGAAGCCACGCTGGATCTGCCTGGTGACTGCGTGATGATCTCAGCTCCATGGTCTACCCGGGCCTTAGCATGCTCTCGGAAATTTAGCTTCTGGCTGTCAATCTGTACAAAGAAAGCAGGCTCACTAAAGAAAACACAGCAACTGCAGACATGTGAAGCTCCCCAAAGAAAGAGTGTCAATTTAATAAATATTATTTTAATTTACCATGAAAGGGCTATGGATTTTTTACTTCAGCAGAGCCCCTCAAATTCACTTCAATTTTCCCCCAAGTCAATTTCCCCCCATAATATATTGCATTAATCTTATCAAAATAATATTAACTTCCATGGAGGACATGTGGCTTGCCATGTGAAAAGGATCTAGGAGTCTTAGAAGACCACAAGTACAACGTGAGTCAGCAGAGTGATGCAGCAGCAAAAAAATACTGGTACTTATCCTACTCTAGGTTGCACCAACAGAAGTCTAGTGTCCAGATCAAGTGAACTCATAGTACTGCTCTATTCTGCCCTGGTTGGACCATACCTGGAGTACTGTGTCAAGTTCTGGGCACCACAATTTAAGGAGGATATTGACAATCTGGAACATGTGCAAATGATAGTGTCTGGAAATCAAGCCTTAGGAGGAATGGTTGAGGGAGTTGAATATGTTTAGTTTGGATAAGAGGATGCTGAGAGAAGATATGGTAGCCACCTTCAAATATCTAAAAGGCTGTTACATGGAAGATGGAGCAAGCCTGTTTTCTCCTGCTCTGGAGGGTAGGACCCAAATCAATGAATTCAAGTTATAAGAAAGGAGATTCTGACTAAACATCATAAGACCTTCTCAACAGTGGAACAGACTCCCAGGAGAGGTGTTAGGAAGGCTATCTGTCCTGTATGCTTTAGCTGAGATTCCTGATTTGCAGGGGGTTGGATTAAATGACCCTCGGGGTCCCTTCCAACTCTACAATTCCATGACTCTAATTTCATAGACGTTTGCCTGAGCAGCTCCTCTTCAGCTGGACTTCATTGGGAATTTGTAGATGGGCAAACCCCTGTAAGAAATTTCACTGATCTTATTAAAATAATGTTACCTCCCTTCATACTTAATGCCATTCTGAGTATACTTTACTTTTACCTTTTTTCTAGGCAACTTTACTCCTCTACTTAAAGAGAAAGAAGTTTGTAAAGATACAAAATAAATAAGGATAAAATGTTTTCTTTGGAAAGAACTGAAGGCTGTGCACACACAATTCCTTTAACCCCCACCCAATGCAATTCTGGGCTGCATCAATAGGAGTATAGCATCTAGATCAAGGGAAGTAATAGTGCCACTGTATTCTGCTCTGGTCAGACCTCACCTGGAGTACTGTGTCCAGTTCTGGGCACCACAGTTCAAGAAGGACACTGACAAACTGGAACGTGTCCAGAGGAGGGCAACCAAAATGGTCAAAGGCCTGGAAACGATGCCTTATGAGGAACGGCTAAGGGAGCTGGGCATGTTTAGCCTGGAGAAGAGGAGGTTAAGGGGTGATATGATAGCCATGTTCAAATATATAAAAGGATGTCACATAGAGGAGGGAGAAAGGTTGTTTTCTGCTGCTCCAGAGAAGCAGACATGGAGCAATGGATCCAAACTACAAGAAAGAAGATTCCACCTAAACATTAGGAAGAACTTCCTGACAGTAAGAGCTGTTCGACAGTGGAATTTGCTGCCAAGGAGTGTGGTGGAGTCTCCTTCTTTGGAGGTCTTTAAGCAGAGGCTTGACAACCATATGTCAGGAGTGCTCTGATGGTGTTTCCTGCTTGGCAGGGGGTTGGACTCGATGGCCCTTGTGGTCTCTTCCAACTCTATGATTCTATGATTCTATGATTCACCCCCCAAAAATCCTTGTTGCCAAACATTAACTATAGGAATTACAGCTTTCTGTTTCTCACCTCTCTTTATTTCCCAGCTGGCAAAATCCAAGACATAACTAGGTACGTTAAGGTACAACAGTTTGCAGCTTCATCTATAATACTGGATATATCCATAATCGTTGTTGTTATAATTATTATTTATTAAATTTGTATACCTCTCTTCATCTGAAGATCACAGGGTTGTTCACAACATAAAATTACAGAATTGTTTGGTTGGGTTGAACCCCAAGTCATATATATACATTTATGAATATACCCCAGTATAATTGTATGCACTAAGTTTTATATAATACATTTCATATTAAAGCAGCAAAGCAATTTGACCTTTGATAAAGTAAGTAGAATGGCATATATTCAAATTTCCCATGAATGCCTGGTTTTTCCACACACAAAAGTTTTTTTTGGGGGGGGACCCTCAACAGTTTTATTCCATGGATTCAAGATTCATGGGGATTGTACACCTCTACTCCTGCAACTCTACTCAGCTATGATGTGGTTGAGGATGTGAAGTGAGTGGTGGAGCTGATACCTGCTGTCCCACCTCAGGCTATCATACTCTAGTGTATATATGACATGGCTGACCACAACACCGGATGAATCCCCAGTCCTCACAGGTATTTCTGCCTTCCCTAAGAGAAGCCCCACCTCAGCCCCTGGGCCTGCTTGCTGCCGTTAGAGCTAACCTTCCCAGTTTGAGAAATTCCTGGGCTCAAAAGACAAATTGTGCAGTGCCTATGTAATAAAGAATAAACAGGCTGGTGATAAAGGTTTGGATCACAACTAACTTGTCCTGCTGATTTCAGTGGAACCACTTAGTCTGGATATCCAGGGTATTCACAAACAACTGGATGATGCACAGAATGAATGTTTCAGTAAGTAGAAGTGGCAGCGCCTTACCTTGATATTGCCTCCTCCAGGTACATGGTGAGCGTTGTCAAGCGAGCCAACCTTGGCATGGGCCTTTTCTTTAAAATCCAGTTTCACGCTCTCAATTTTCACTCGCCCTCCACCTAGATGTTATGGGAGGAAAATTAAGTCGGAAAATACAGCAGACTCTCCAACTGTGACTGAAGCACTTTTCAACACACATACTTTCCTCCTTAACAATGATCATGGGGTTAGGATGACACGCTGAGCCAAACTGCTATGCTGCTGCTATGCTGTGCTCAGTGGAAAGGCTTGGAGAGAAGCACAGCGGGTACAATCTCCCCTCCAGGAGCCAGCTCATTTGTGCAGTCCTGGTAAGCATAGTTTGGCTTTCCATGATGTGCAGATCAGGCCATTCATTGTGTGGGCAGCTGGCACTGTGTACTTCAGAATGAGAAATCATTTGTAAATGGCTTTCAATTAGAGAGAGATAGTCATGTATGCAAGTGCCTAATGTCAAAACTGGAATAAGCTAATGCTCCTCTGTGAACTTTTAGTGTCAGGGGTTTGGAAAAGAAACCAAAACTTTACATGGAAGCAGACCACAACAGAAACCAAGGTTAATCATTGCATAATGGACGGAGAGTGTTAAGAGAGTGCCTATATAAAACACTTCAACAGAAGAATCCTTCTGGGTTTGGGGAAGAAGACCTGAGGGTGCATGAACTGTGACTAGGGAAGAAAGTGGCATGAGTTTTTTGCCTTCCCTTACTCTCCCTGCTCCATTTTCCTTTCCACTGCTTACCCAGGATCAGGAATGGGAGTAGCTCCAAAACCATATTAACACAATAATATGCATATTAAATGGATGGCCTCTATAACCTAGTAAGTGGTACATGAGATTAGCAAAAGAAAATACCATGGGAAATATGCAAACCCACAGCAGACGTGCTATAAGGGAGGGACAGCCATCTTCGTTTCACATTTATCTGGCAGTGGCAGTGGAGGTGTTTTTCTGGAGGCTTCCTTCACTCTCAAATGTGGCAATGACAACACCCCAGATGACAGGGACCCCAGGAAATGTAATTTTCCTACAGTGCCTGAGTACTTATTATGGACATCAGGTACCCTGGAAAATCCGTGTTTTGCAAAATTCTCTCCCCCCCCCCCCGAGAATTTCCATCTTACCTGGCCTGTGACGGATATTCTTTAGTGAGCCACATTTTGAAGTCACATGACTTAAGTCTATCTTCTTGGTTACGATCTGCACCTGTTAAAAATATACAAAAATATATCTTGGGAATGAGAAAATAAAACCTGGAAATGAATGTGCCTTGACTTTGAAAGATACTGTAAGAAAATAGATGATTAGTAGTATACAATCATGCCACAAAGGAGGGAAACACCCAGATTAATACAGCAAGCTTCCCATCTGAACCTAGCAGAACCATATTAAAGGTTTTTCATTAGTAAAGTGAAGACTGTAAATCAGGAAGGTGAGTGAAGTTCTTTCCTAAGTTTTTTCATGTGAAAGAAAGTTAGTTTCAGTGCTGTGTGCTGAGAACTGTATAACATATTTCTATTTCCTTTTTGCACAGAGTTCCAGGATTGCCTTCTGTGGCTTAACTGAATTTCTGATTGGAATATTTTTCAGTGCTCCTGTAGCTACATAAGGACACTTCCACCTTTCTAAGGCCCGATTTGGTCTCGCTAACCTTGTTTAAAAAGGTTATGTTATCCTCTAAGAGAAAAACTACAGATGTGTCTGAAGCATAAACTGGCATGTTTCCTTACAATGCTCCTGGCATTTGGGGGTGCTACTACAGATATTGCCTTAGATATGTGACAGACTTAAGGTTCATTCACCCTTTTGGACCCACCATGAAATGAGATGGTGCAAATGGGTCAAGCATATCTGGAAATTATATGGCTCACGAGTTGGCTCTGATTCTACAAGGCCTTCAGTGCGAAATTAAGTCACACAATGGTGGGTCTACAACAGCTATATTCCCCTATTCTTGCTAAGCCACCTGGCTGCCACCTGGTCAGGAAACACTACCATGTGTTAAGGACATATTGCTAGCCTTACCTCCAGATTGCTAAGCAAGTGCAACTCTTATGTTTGTATCCTTAATATTTTCTCACATTTTTAGCCCTGTAAGGACTGGGATTTCTTTTTTTTATAAGGCCTTGAATAGTTGTGGATTTCAGTTGGCTGAGTCAGTGTCTTGTGGAGCAGAGTGCTTTGACTGAGACTGGGAAATTTGCTGTGGTCTGTGAGGAAGGATGGAGATACCCACCACTCAACACACAATGCTGAACACATCACTAGACCAAGGTGTCTGTGAAACATTAGCAAGAAGGGAAAGAGTGCTTGGTAGGAAGACACAAAGGACTAGGCTGTGCAGAGGAGGGTCACCAAAGTGGCCCAGGGTACCTTGCCAGGCGCCATCTTTACTTACATTTCCTCCCCCTGCTGAATGTGTGATGTTATCCTTGGAACCACATCTGGATTGAATATCGCTAAAATCAATCTTCTTGCTTAAAATCCTAACCTAAAAGGAATCGGAGGTTAACTTACTATAAAAAGTGTTAACGTTGGTATGCAAAGCTCCCAACAAAGTCCTGTCTGCTGCAGTGGAGGGGGCCATTTGCTTTACAAGTTATGCTCTAATCATGAGTCAAAGTTGTTTAAGAATGCCTTGACCTTTCTATCCTGTTTCTCTCCAGCTGCCTGCATGGCAAAACAAAACCATTTCTTCAAGATTCTGAGAGGCAGGTGACTTTTCTATAGCAGCAGCTAGTTAAGTGCCCATCCGTGTGAAGATAGAAGGCCTACATCCTCTAAGCTACTGTAATGGGGCAAGGGAATAGTAGGCTCCTGAAAAGTGCAAGCAGTGCACTGAATGCTGGCTCAATATATTAAATATCAGCTTGGATTTCCATTATGAGGTTTTCAGTGGCACATACAACAAAATGCAAAGGCTGCAGCTCATGAGAGAAGTACAGTGGTACCTCGGGTTACATAAGCTTCAGGTTACATATGCTTCAGGTTACAGACTCCGCTAACCCAGAAATAGTATCTCGGGTTAAGAACTTTTCTTCAGGATGAGAACAGAAATTGCACGACGGTGGCGCGGCAGCAGCAGCAGCGGGAGGCCCCATTAGCTAAAGTGATACTTCAGGTTAAGAACAGTTTCAGGTTAAGAACGGACCTCCAGCACAAATTAAGTACGTAACCAGAGGTACCACTGTAGTCAGTATGAATACTTTCTTGGTAGCGGACTTCTGGTCTACTGCGGAGGACAATGGCAATGTGCTAAGTGTCGTCCACAACATGGAGCGGACAGAAAGGCGTGGAGGGTGGCGCTAGAGCTCAGCGCACCCCAACCCCCCCCACAGAAGAGTGGGGACCCGAGGGCTCCAGCAGAGTGGAAAAACTCGCCCCCTGAACATCTCCCAGCTGCCGCTGTGCGCGTGGGAGGGAAGGGGCTTGAGTTCGCTCTCAACTCCAACACAGCCTGCTGCCGAAGCTATGATTTGTCACCAGAAGCAGCAGATCTTCCAATTAGAGGTAAATTTGAAATAAAACATTAAAAATTAAAAATTAGAGGCTAAAAAGTTTATTTGGCGAAACGAAAGCAAAACAGGAAGTCAGCTTCCGATTTCTGCAGATGAGCTCTGCAAAGGGAATTTTTGTGTGAATGGGACACAGAGACTGCCTACAGCAACGGAGAGTTGAAACATTTAACTCTAATGAATATATATATTAACTATCAAGTAACCTACTGGATTATAAAGTTAAAAACCCACTGACAGCTGGAGGAATTTGAACAGTATTTTAAAAATTGGTGGAGCAGAAGAGGAAAAGGGGAAAGAAAGGGAGCTAGCAGGGGACTCTCAGCACTTCTGTGGGGTAACCACAGAAAGTGGAAAGAGCCTGGAACAGCTTCCAAAGTAACTTCAATACTCCAAGAGATTGAAAGAGCTTGCCAAGAAAGATCTGTCGATTGAAACTCCAGCACGTTTGTGAATTAAACAAGACAAAATGCCATGGGATTACATATAAGAAATAAAATGGAGATATAAATTCTGGAACTATTGCAAGTCACCACTGTTTGAGACAATTACAAGTAGATAAGTACAAATTAAAGAATAACCTTGTTTTTAAAGACATAAATCTGAAACTGAACTGGCCTAACATCTTTTTGCTTTATGGACTTTTAAATTACTTTCTTATTTTTTCTTCTTATTTTTTTGCCCTTTTAATTGTACATTTTATATCTCCTGATTTATTGGATGTTTTCATTTCTCTCTGCCTTTTTTGTTATATGACTGTATGATTTGCTGTTGTGGGGAGGGAGAAGGCAGACAAAAGGGAAAGGGAAACTGGAAAGAGTCTGGGAGGGGGGAAACAACCTCATGGCTGGATAGAGCCGGAACTTGCAGGTGTGACCTTGAACAACTCAAAAAACACTGGGAACCAACTGATAAGACATGTTGGGTAAGGAGGGAACAACAACCAGGAAAGTGGCAGCTGCAGCTGCGGCGGCCGCTAGAAGGGCTAGTGTGTGAGGAGAAACAGGAGATAAAGGGGGGAGAGAGCAAACAGATCTTCTTGCACAGCAACTTTTGGAATTCAGGAAAGAAATGGTTCAACTTCCGGAGGTGGCGCCAACGGTAATGGCTGCTTCTCTCTAATTTGGAGAGAACTGGCTTTACGGAATTTGGGTCCTGTCGCTACGGCGCAGCGGGGACCCCCAAATAAATCACAGGCGGGTGAAGCCTGTGACCGTGGGACTCAGCGGGCACCGTTTGCGCCCCCCCAATTGCTAAAGGAGCTCGGCAACGGGCTCCGGAGCGGAGCGGGGGTGGCGTGGTGCTGTGAGCAAATTGCTTCTTCCGTGGAGCGAAGCCGCGAAGCTGTTACCAGAGAGCGCTGCCTTTTTTCCTGGGATAATTGGCACTGAAAACAACTACCCGTGAGTAGGAGTAAATTGGATTTAAAGGGAAAAAAAAGTTAATTTGGCACGGAGCGGGGAAGGTACAACCAGGAAGTCTATCTTCCCTGAATTGTAAATAGATCAAAGCAAAGAGACTTCAAAGCGGAAACTCGGAAAGTCACTTAAATGTGCTAAATTCCAACATCTTGAAAGTGGTTCCCCCTCCGGATTGCAGGAGAGGAGGGGGGAAAAGACTGAGCTGAATTTCCCTGCAGTAAAGAAGGGGAGAGGAAGGAAGAATTTACAATTTAAGATTCGGAACGGACTGCCTTAAGATAGAGGTCCATAGTGAAAGCTTATTTCTGACAGCCAACTCTGCAAAAGTGATACAGTGTTTCTGAACCTCTTTTGGCTTGAAAGTAACTGTTTAAGTGTATTGAGACTGTGGACTTTGAAAGTAAATTGGGGGATTTATAAAGACTATTTTTGTTTCTAAAAAGTTACAAGTTCTGGCTGTTACTGTGTCCCCCTAGAGGAGGTTGGACATTGTTACAACAACAGTTACAAAGAGGAAAATTCCACTCTATGTCAAAACAATTGGCTGACTGTGGGAGTGACCTTGAATGTCTATGAGACTGTTATGGCAGATGATAAGAAGTCGGAACCGCAGGAAAAACTACTAGGTCTGGCAGACATTATCGGATAGACACTGCGTTGCCGCGAAGGGGCTCAACATCTGGAGCATCTGGAGCATCAGGGCCCCACTCCCACAGTCTAAATCAAAAGTTATGACGTCAGAAGAAGTTTTGGCACAGGCACTGGCAAAAATTAATGAATCTTTGGAAAGCCTAAGTAAACAGGTAACTGAGACAAATAGACAAGTAGCTGAAACAAATAGACAAGTAGTTGAGACAAATAGACAAGTTGTGCAAGCATCAAATAAAATTGATTTAAATACTGCAAGTATTAATACCTTGGGACAGAAGGTGAATGCCAACACAGAGACTATCGAAAAATTACTACAGGAATCTGCCTTGATTCGACAAACTGCACAGGAAGCAAAAGATATTGCAATTGCTACTCAAGAGAAAATTCCACCTGTATACAAGAAATTGGAGGACCATGATGTGACATTTTCTATGATCGAATTAAAAGATAGACAGAGAAATCTGAGAATTAGGGCTGTTCCAGAGCGGGAGAAAGATAATTTGGCTGACTTTCTTACACAGGAATTTACAGATTTTGGGCAATTGGACCCGGGAAGGAAGAATTTAAGATAGTGAATGCATTTAGGCTCGGAAGAAGACAAGGCAAGGGCAAGGTGAGAGACTGTTTGATTACCTTTCGAACAAAAGAAGAGAGAGATAAAATTCTGAATTTGCACTATCAAAAAACTTTGGAAATTGATGACTCAAGATTAGTGATTTTTAAGGACATCCCAAAGCATTTGCTGGACTTAAGGTCCAATTACGGAGACCTAGTGACCTTATTGAAAAGAAACAGAATTCTTTTCAGGTGGGAATTTCCGCAAGGCCTGTCCTTCAAATATAAAGGGAGAAAGATAAAAATAAAATCAACTGAGGAAAAAGACAGATTCTTGAAAGATCACGAGGAAGATCTATTGAAAGAAGGGGAATCTGAAGAAGAACCAAAAGGCATACTAGACATATCAAATTTATCTTTTGGACTGCACGGTCCAGAAAAAGTGATACTACCCACAGAACAAGAAGCGGCACTTGGGGCAGTTGGAGGTAAAGTGAAGTAGCCCCCATCATGGCTCTGCAACTATTAAGCTGGAATTGTAACGGTTTGAATTCTCCTCGAAAAAGAAAAAGAACAATTGGACTTGATTTGTCTACAAGAGACACATATAACAAGGGCACATAGGAAGTTATTGATTAATAAAAGATTAGGACAGGAGTTTGTTTCATCTGACAAAGTCAAAAAAAGAGGAGTTGTGATTTATGCAAAGGAGAGACTCTTACCGAAACTTATTTTTAAAGATGACCAAGGAAGATTTTTGGCAATTGAAATTCAACTACAAGGAGAGAAATTCTTAACTGTGGAAATTTATGCACCGAACGAGGGGAAATCTGAATTTTATAAAAAGTTGCATGAGACTCTACTGGATCATTTGGACTACAATTTGATTTTGATGGGGGACATGAATGGAGTAATATCTACAAATATGGACAAGGCACAAAGACAGGTAGTCACCAAGGATGGTAGACTACCGAAAACATTTTTTGAGATGACAGACAATATGGACTTAGTGGACATCTGGAGGGTAAAGAACCCCCTGGGAAGAGAAGGAACTTTTTTTTTCTGAAGCCAAGATGACATGGACTAGAATTGACCAAATATGGATAACTAGAGGAATGGCACCAAAGATAAAGAAGGTAGAAATCTGCCCAAAAACTTGTTCCGACCACAATGCGGTAAGGATGGAGATGAAACAAACAACAACCGGATCCTTTAGATGGAGGATGAATGACACCTTATTTAGAGATGAAGAAGTTTACAAAAAGGCCCAAAAGACTTTGAGAGATTATTCTGAAATAAATATGAATACCAATGTAGAAAAAAGAGTAATCTGGGACGCAAGCAAAGCTGTGATGAGAGGGTTTTGTGATACAACAGAATGCAATAAAGAAGAGAAGTCAAAATGAAAAGAAAGATAAAATTTTGGAAAAAATAAAAGAAGGTGAGAAGAAATTGAGAGCAAAACCAAAGTCCCAGGAGATTTTGAGAGAAATAAAATTATATCAAGTACAATATATGGAAATGATGAATCAGGAAATAGAATGGAAAATCAAACAAATGAGACAAAAAACATTTGAATTAGCTAATAAATGTGGAAAACTGTTGGCCTGGCAAATGAAAAAAAGACAAAAATTAAATACTATTATAAATCTAGAAGTGGAAGGAAAGAGTATACATAATCCAAATGAGATCAGAAATTGCTTCCAGAGGTACTTTAAACAATTATACACACAAGGGCCACAGAAGGAAATGGACATAGACCAATTTTTGAAGACAAATGGCCTACAAAAATCTCTCAAGAAAGTAAATTAATGCTGAACTATAAAATATCTGAACAGGAAGTAGAAGGTGCCATACAAAATATGCAATTGGGCAAATCTCCAGGACCGGATGGGCTGACTTCCAGATACTATAGATCTTTGAAAGAGTGGTTATTGCAACCTTTGAAGGAAGTCTGCAATGAAATATTGGAGGGAAAAGGGCACCAGAATTGTGGAAAGAGGCGTATATCACACTTATACCGAAAACAGAGACTGAAAAGACTCAGCTTAAGAACTATCGCCCTATATCGTTACTTAATGTGGATTACAAAATTTTTGCAGACATTTTGGCCAAGAGATTGAAAAAAGTATTGATGAAAGAGATTCATAAAGACCAAGCGGGCTTTCTCCCGGGAAGACACCTGTCTGATAATTTGAGGAATATAATTGATATTTTGGAAAAATTAGAAGTGAATATAAACACCAAAGCAGTATTGATATTTGTTGACGCGGAGAAAGCTTTTGATAATATCTCTTGGAGTTTTATGAAGAAGAATCTGCATGGGATGGGGGTAGGCCAAGGTTTTGAAAATGGTATAGGTGCAATATACTCTGAACAAAAGGCTAAATTAATTGTAAATAATGTGGTTACGGAAGAATTTAAGATAGAAAAAGGGACACGACAGGGGTGCCCAATTTCCCCACTGCTTTTTATATCGGTCCTGGAGGTTTTGCTAAATATGTTTAGAAAGGACCGGTTGGTTAAGGGCATACAGGTCGGAGCTAAACAGTACAAACTGAGAGCATTTGCAGATGACCTAGTATTGATGTTACAGGAGCCAGAATCTAGTACTAAAAGAGTTTTAGAATTAATTCAGGAATTTGGTCAGGTGGCAGGTTTTAAATTGAACAAGTTAAAAACTAAGGTTTTAGAGAAAAACTTAACACCGATTGAAAGAGAGAGGTTTCAGAATGAGACAGGATTGAATGTGGTAAAGAAAGTGAAATACTTGGGGATTAATATGACAGCCAAAAACGGGAACTTATTTAAAGATAATTACGAAAAATGTTGGACGGAAGTGAAAAAGATTTAGAAATTTGGTCAAATTTGAAACTCTCGTTGCTGGGCCGTATTGCTGTGATAAAGATGAATGTATTGCCTAGAATGTTGTTTTTGTTTCAGACATTACAAATTGTAGATAAGATGGACTGTTTCAAGAAGTGGCAGAGAGATATTTCTAGATTTGTCTGGCAGGGCAAGAAGCCCAGAATAAAATTCAAGATATTAACTGATGCCAAGGAAAGAGGTGGATTTGCCCTGCCAGACTTTAAACTTTATTATGAATCAGCAGCTTTTTGCTGGCTGAAAGAATGGCTACTTCTTGAAAACACAGACATTTTGGATCTAGAAGGTTTTAACAATGTATTTGGATGGCATGCATATTTATGGTATGATAAGGTCAAAGCACACAAAGCATTCAAAAACCATATTGTTAGGAAAGCATTGTTTAATGTTTGGATAAGATACAAAGACTTATTGGAAAATAAAACCCCAAGGTGGCTATCACCAATGGAAGCAAAAGCTCTGAAAAGGCTCAATATGGAGGCCAAATGGCCGACATATTGGGAAATTTTGGAGCAAGAAGGAGATAAATTGAGATTTGAAAAATTAAAAAATAAAGTGAGAGATTGGCTCCACTACTATCAGATAATGGAGGCATATAATTTGGATAAGAAAATAGGCTTCCAAGTGGAAAAGTCAAAATTAGAAACAGAATTGTTAGAACCCAAAACTAAAAATTTGTCAAGAATGTATAACTTGCTGTTGAAATGGAATACTCAGGATGAAACGGTGAAATCTGCTATGATTAAATGGGCACAAGATGTTGGACATAATATCATGTTCGCTGACTGGGAACAGTTATGGACCACAGGTATGAAGTTTACGGCATGTAATGCCTTAAGAGAGAATATTATGAAAATGATATACAGGTGGTACATGACCCCAGTCAAGCTTGCAAAAATTTATCATTTGCCCGATAATAAATGTTGGAAATGTAAAGAAACTGAAGGTACATTCTTTCACCTTTGGTGGACGTGCCCAAAGATTAAGGCTTTCTGGGAAATGATATATAATGAACTGAAAAAGATATTTAAATATACCTTTCTGAAGAAACCAGAGGCCTTTCTCTTGGGCATTGTCGGCCAACTGGTGCTAAAGAAGGACAGAACTTTTTTCATGTATGCTACAACAGTAGCAAGAATACTTATTGCAAAGTATTGGAAGACACAAGATCTACCCACTTTGGAAGAATGGCAGATGAAGGTGATTGACTACATGGAACTGGCGGAAATGACCGGCAGAATCCGAGACCAGGGAGAAGAGTCGGTGAAAGAAGACTGGAAAAAATTTAAGGACTATTTACAGAAATATTGCAAAATTAAGGAACTTTAGAAGGATGTTGGATAGAAACTAAGAGGTTTTTAGCTGTAATGCTTTAAGAGACATGGGGGAAAAAAAGGTTAATAATTGGGTAAAAGATTAATGGTAAGGATTTGCTGAACCAACAAATGGAATTGGAATACAAAGAAGGGAGGTATGAGGAGGTCTGGGGAAATAAGAGTAAGGAAGATAGGTTATGGAACATTATTGTGTTTTTAACTGTTTTATTTTGTATGTTTTTTCTTATTTTCTACTTTTTTGCTGTACTTTATACTTTTTTCTTTGTTTTGTGTATTTTTGTGAAACTTTAATAAATATCATTATAAAAAAAAAAAAGAAATGGTTCAATCAATGCAAGAATTTGCAAAACAGGTTCACAGTGACATGGAAAAATCCAATCAAACATTGATTGAACAAGTGCACAGGGATATTGAAAATTTGAAGAGTTTTGAAAGAGCAATTTGGGATATTGGGAGACAAGGTCAACAAACTGGAAACCAAAGTAGACAAACTAGAAAAAGTTAAAAGAGGAGGTAGGAGAATTAAGAGAGAAACAAAAAGGGTTGATGGGAACTGTGGAAGGGGTTCAAGGGAAGCAGAATGAATTGGAGGACCAGATCCTCCTCTTGCAGCAAAGGGAAAGAGACAGGACATTACGAATTAGAGGCCTTCCAGAATCTGACACAGAGCCAAATTTGGAGACATTTGTTACACAGACAATCTCAGAATGGATGGGAGAAAGTAAAGACTGGTTGGATGGACTTTCAGAGAGCTGTTTCAGAATTAGATCGTGCGAAAGTTGAGATGCAGCCAGGAGATGTTTTATTAACATTAGTAACAAAAAGAGTGAAGGATGCAATCCTTCAGAACAGCTTTGAAAAAAATCTCGTGGTTGCCGGACAGAAAGTAGACATTTTTAGGGAGATCCCACTGAAATTGAGATTTAGAAGAATCAAATTTAGGTTTTTAACAACAGCACTCAGGAGAGCTATCAGATACAAATGGGAATTTCCAGAGGGCATTTCTTTCACATACCTGAAAAGGAGATATAGGCTAACATCAGAGTTTCAGGTGAGAGAGTTCTTTGACAAATACAGGAGAGACTTAGATTCCAAACAAGACAGGGGAGACCCTTGAGCTGAACAAAAAGAGGCCTTGGAGCAGTTAGCATTGGAAGGCACTACATCAGAAAAAACAGATATTGCAACTGACTCTGACAATGGCCAATCTTAAAATACTGAGCTGGAATGTGAATGGATTGAACTGTAAAGCCAAATGCAATCGGATTGAGCATGTAATAGCAAAATAGAAATTAGACATAATTTGCCTCCAAGAGACACATATTGCAAAAAAGGGGGTCTTAATTAGCAAAAAAAATTAGGTATGGATTTCATTTCGTCAGATAAAACCAAAAAAGAGGAGGTTTTTTTTTACATTAATCCTGCACTTGAACCCAGATTGATTCAGAAGAATGAAAAAGGCAGAATCTTAATAATACAAGTTAAAATTCAGGGAGAGAAAGTGTATTGGTTGGCATTTATGCACCCAACAATAAAAAAGCATTCTTCTTTAAAAAACTAGAAACAGAACTACACGAATTTGCAGATCAAAAGATGATCTTAATGGGAGACCTAAATGGAGTTCCAGATCAGACAGGCAGAATCAGCCAAGCAAAAAAGAGACCACGGAAGATAAATTACCATAGACTTTTTTTTTTTATATGACTCAAAATCTAAATTTGATAGATATATGGAGAATGAGACATGTTTGATACAGAGTTCACTTATTACAGCCATGTACACAATAGCAGCTCGAGAATAGACTCTTTGTGGATTTCCAAAGAATTGGAAATAAGAGTAAAAAAAAATTGAAATTAACCCCAGAACTTTTTCAGACTAAATTCTTTGATTATGGAATTACAAAAAGAAAGCCAAATCTCTTTCAGATGGAGACTATATGATGATTTACTAGATGATCAAAAATTTGTAGAAAAAATAAAAAAGGCCTTGATTGATTATTTTGAAATAAATAATCAAGGACAGACAAAATTACAGACAGTCTGGGAAGAGGAGGTTAAGGGGTGATATGATAGCCATGTTCAAATATATAAAAGGATGTCACATAGAGGACGGGGAAAGGTTGTTTTCTGCTGCTCCAGAGAAGCGGACACAGAGCAATGGATCCAAACTACAAGAAAGAAGATTCCACCTAAACATTAGGAAGAACTTCCTGACAGTAAGAGCTGTTCGACAGTGGAATTTGCTGCCAAGGAGTGTGGTGGAGTCTCCTTTGGAGGTCTTTAAGCAGAGGCTTGACAACCATATGTCAGGAGTGCTCTGATGGTGTTTCCTGCTTGGCAGGGGGTTGGACTCGATGGCCCTTGTGGTCTCTTCCAACTCTATGATTCTATGATTCTAAGTAAGGCGGTGGTGAGAGGACTCTATACAACAAAACTCAACGATAATTAATGAGGAAATTAGTTGGAAAATAAAGAGAGTAAAAAAAAATATTTGAGCATGTAAACAAACCGGGAAAATTGTTAGCCTAGCAGTTTAAAAAAAATGAACAAAGGAACTTCATAAATAAAATTAATCTAAATGGAAAGATCACAGATAAGCTGAAGGAAATTGGAGTAGGATTTGTTAAATATTCTTCAGATTTGTATAGACAAGGGAAAGAAAAAACATTCAAATAGAAGAGTATATCAGAAGTAGTAACATGCCACATATAAAGGATGAACAAAGGAAGATTTTTAATACCCAAGAACTGCTAGAGGCAATAAAAGGCTCTAAAAATGGCAAGTCACCAGGCCCGGATGGACTTACGGCAAAATATTATAAAAAATTAAGTGAACAACTAGTGAACCCACTGAAAGATGTCATGAATGAGATACTGAACACAGGTGAAATTCCAGAAACATGGAAAGAGGCCTATATTACAGTAATTCCAAAACAAGACGCAGACTTGCTGCAAATCAAAAATTACAGACCTATCTCTTTGTTAAACAACGATTACAAACTGTTTGCAAACTTATTAGCTAACAGATTGAAAAATATACTAAATGAGTATATACATCAAGACCAGGCAGGATTTCTTCCAGGTAGACAAATGAAGGAGAATATAAGGAATATTTTGAATATCATAGAATACCTGGAGGCTAAAAATGAAAAGAAAGCAGCAATAATGTTTATAGATGCTGAAAAAGCTTTTGACAGCGTCTCTTGGAAATTCATGACAAAGATATTAGACGAAATCAAAAGTGGGCCTAAATTCCTAAAAGGAATATAAGCAATCTATTCAGAACAAAAAGCAAAATTAATTATAAACCAGGTAATAATGGATGATTGTAAGATTCAAAAAGGAACCAGACAAGGATGTCCACTATCACCATGGTTGTTCATCCTGGTACTGGAAGTACTTGCCAGAAATATAAGAGCAGATAAAGAGATCACAGGCATTAAAACTGGGAAAAGTGAGTTTAAATTAAAAGTATATGTAGATGATTTAGTGATAACAGTTGAAGACCCAAAAACTTCACTCCCTAAAGTAATAGAAAAGATTCAGAAATTTGGGGAAGTAGCAGGATTTAAATTAAATAGGAATAAAACTAAATTATTAGTTAAACATTTGAAGGAAGAAAAAATAATAATGAGTTAGAGCAAAACATTGAGACTGAAGTCCATAAAAAGTTTAAGTATTTAGGGATATGGTTAACATCAAGAAATCTAAATTTATTTAAAAGTAATTATGAAAAAATCTGGTTTGAGGTAAAAAGAAATTTAGAAATATGGAGCAGAATGAATCTCTCATTGTTAGGTAAAATAGCAGCGATTAAAATGAACGTGTTGCCAAAAATGCTATTTCTTTTTCAATCAATTCCAGTTATCCTGAAAGATGATTATTTCAAAAAATGGGAGAAAGAGATTTCAAAAATTACCGGGGGGGGGGGGGCAAAAGGCTAAGGATAAAATATAAAATACTTACAGATGTAAAAGACAGAGGCGGGTTTGCCCTCCCAGACTTTAAATTATACTATAAAGCTGCATGTCTGGTATGGATCAGGGACTGGATCAAGTTGGGGAAAAAAGAAGCATTAGAATTGGAAGGATATGATAACAGATTAGGCTGGCATGCATACTTATGGTATGGGAAAGGAAAGGTACACAGAAGTTTTTACAATCATATAGTTAAAGGTAAAGGTAAAGGACCCCTGACCATACGGTCCAGTCGTGACCGACTCTGGGGTTGCGTGCTCATCTCGCTCAAGAGGCTGAGAGCTGGCGCTTGTCCGCAGACAGCTTCCGGGTCACGTGGCCAGCGTGACTAAGCCGCTACTGTCGAAGCAGAGCAGCACACGGAAACGCCTTTTACCTTCCCGCCGGAGAGCGGTCCCTATTTATCTACTTGCACTTTTGAGGTGCTTTCGAACTGCTAGGTGGGCAGGAGCTGGGACCGAACAACGGGAGCTCACCCTGTCAAACCACTTGGAAAGAAAGGAAAATGGCTTACATATGCTGAATTGTTAAAGGATCAAGATGGAAAATGGAAACTAAGAGATTATGATGAAATAAAAGATCATTTTCAGAGTTGGTTGCACTATCGACAATTACATGAAACATATAAAGACAGTAAGAAAGGATTTAGTTACATGATATCCAGATTTCAAAGGGAAGTGGTAGAAGGGAAAGTAAAGCTGCTGAAAGGTGCATACAGTATTCTGCTAGAATGGGAGACGAAAGACAAAGAGGTGAAATCAGTGATGATTAAATGGGCACAAGATATAGGTCATAATATTATGTTGGAAGATTGAGAAAGGTTATGGAAAGCTGACTGAAAATTTACAGATTGCTCCTTGCTGAAAGAAAATTATATGAAGATGATGTATAGATGGTATATAACACCAGTGCAGCTAGGAAGAATGTACAAAACCAGTTCAAATATGTGTTGGAAATGTAAAGAAAAAGAAGGGACCTTTTATCATATGTGGTGGGACTGCAGTAAAATTTAAAAAAATTGGGAAATGATATAGAATGAGTTGAAGAAAATTGTCAAAAAACCTGAAGGATTTTTGTAGGAAAAGACCTGCCAAGGAAACTGAAAAACATCTTTATGTATGCGACAACGGCGGCAAGAGTCTTAATAGCACAAGGATGGAAGAACGAGGAAATCCCAGCTAAAGAACCGTGGCAAGAGAAATTGATGGACTACGCAGAATTGGCAAAACTGACACACAAACTACATGACAAGCTGGTAAAATGCGGTCTTGACTATGCTACCACTCAGTGGATTTGTAACTGGCTGACCGACCGAACCCAAACGGTGCTCATCAATGGTTCCTCTTCATCCTGGAGAAGAGTGACTAGTGGGGTGCCACAGGGTTCTGTCTTGGGCCCGGTCTTATTCAACATCTTTATCAACGACTTGGATGATGGACTCAAGGGGATCCTGATCAAATTTGCAGATGACACCAAACTGGGAGGGGTGGCTAACACCCCAGAGGACAGGATCACACTTCAAAACGACCTTGACAGATTAGAGAACTGGGCCAAAACAAACAAGATGAATTTTAACAGGGAGAAATGTAAAGTATTGCACTTGGGCAAAAAAATGAGAGGCACAAATACAAGATGGGGGACACCTGGCTTGAGAGCAGTACATGTGAAAAGGATCTAGGAGTCTTGGTTGACCACAAACTTGACATGAGCCAACAGTGTGACGCGGCAGCTAAAAAAGCCAATGCAATTCTGGGCTGCATCAATAGGAGTATAGCATCTAGATCAAGGGAAGTAATAGTGCCACTGTATTCTGCTCTGGTCAGACCTCACCTGGAGTACTGTGTCCAGTTCTGGGCACCACAGTTCAAGAAGGACACTGACAAACTGGAACGTGTCCAGAGGAGGGCAACCAAAATGGTCAAAGGCCTGGAAACGATGCCTTATGAGGAACGGCTAAGGGAGCTGGGCATGTTTAGCCTGGAGAAGAGGAGGTTAAGGGGTGATATGATAGCCATGTTCAAATATATAAAAGGATGTCACATAGAGGAGGGAGAAAGGTTGTTTTCTGCTGCTCCAGAGAAGCGGACACGGAGCAATGGATCCAAACTACAAGAAAGAAGATTCCACCTAAACATTAGGAAGAACGTCCTGACAGTAAGAGCTGTTCGACAGTGGAATTTGCTGCCAAGGAGTGTGGTGGAGTCTCCTTCTTTGGAGGTCTTTAAGCAGAGGCTTGACAACCATATGTCAGGAGTGCTCTGATGGTGTTTCCTGCTTGGCAGGGGGTTGGATTCGATGGCCCTTGTGGTCTCTTCCAACTCTATGATTCTATGATTCTATGACAAGGATAACTGTGATTTTAAAAGATGAATGGGAACCCTTCAGAAACAACAAAATGAACTGGACTCCTTGGCAGGTTTTGAATAAACATTCACAAACTTTTTATTGATAATATTTAGATAGACAAATTAAGGATCTGTACAGTTTTGTAACATGCAGAAAATAACATATATTGATAAACCAGAGAGAGGAGCTGAGGGAAGTCGGGGGGAGGGGGGTTATGTTTGGGGGAGGGGGAGGGGGAAAATAGGGGGGAATTTAAGGATATGTTCTTTGATAAAATGTTATGTTGAAATTACTAATAAAAAATATTTTTTAAAAAAGAATACTTTCTTGGTAGCAAAGAGATCTACCCCAATACTGATTTCATCCTCTTTACAAATTGCAAAATATACGATGAATTAAAAAAGATGATGGGGATAACTTTTACTAAAAAAACGGTGGCATTTCTATTAAGTATTTTAGATAAAGAGATCCCAAAAAATCTAAGAGAGGTATTCTTGTATGCAACCGCAGTGGCTCGTATACTTGTTGCCAAGGGATGGAAAGATCACGAGGCTCCAAAAATAACAGACTGGCAAATAAAATTACAGGAATTGGTGGAGACGGCTCAATTGACTAGTAAACTCAGAGAAAACTCAAAGCAAAAATTTGCAGAAAAATGGGATGGTTATAGAAGATATGTTCAAAAATACAATAATAGTTTTGACTCCATGCTAGCATTCAAGTGATAAAGGAACTAAAAGGAGGTGGACAACAATTAAGGATTTATTATGTTTTCAGATTGTATTGGAAAATTTATATAGAAATTTTTATTGTTTTGTGTACATTCGATTGTAAGATAAAATATATATAAAGGGACTTGACAGGAAGTCAAAGTTGAAGAAAAGATTTTGGAAGATAAAAGGGGGAAAAATATTTACTTTCATTATTATCATTTTGTGTGCGGGTGTGGGTGTGTGGGTGTCTGCACATATGTGTGTTTTTGTATGGAATTTTGGGAGGAAATAAGATGGTAAATAACAAACTAAATATTGATGTATGTAATTTTTATTTCTTAATTATATTTAGTGGTAGTATGGTTGTATTGTTTTTTGTAACATAAAATCATTCAATAAAAATTATTTAAAAAATAAAAAATAAAACCAGAATCGCATTTGGGTAGAAACTGTTTCTCAGGCAGCTAGTCCTAGTCTTTATAACCCTGTACCTTCTTCCAAAAGGCAGAAGCTGAAAGAGATCATTTCCAGGGTGCGCACTATCCTGTGCTATCTCTGCAGCTTTCTTATGACACCTGGAAGCATAGATTTGATCCAAGGTGGGAAGAGTGCACCCAATTAGTCTCTCTGCAGTCTTTACAACCCTGGACCCTATACCATACTACCCTAAAATATTTACCGTATTTTTCGCTCTATAAGACGCACCAGGCCACAAGACGCACCTAGTTTTTGGAGGAGGAAAACAAGAAAAAAATATTCCAAATCTCAGAAGCTAGAACAGCAAGAGGGATCTCTGCGCAGTGAAAGCAGCAATCCCTCTTGCTGTTCTGGCTTCTGGGATAGCTGTGCAGCCTGCATTCACCCCATAAGACGCACACACATTTCCCCTTACTTTTTAGGAGGAAAAAAGTGAGTCTTATAGAGCAAAAAATACGGTATATGTTTCTTTGATTGTCCTTGAATCTTCCCACCACAATTGCCATCCTCTCCTGCTACACCCTTTGAGAGCCACTGTTCTAAGCTCTTACTCCAGAAAGGAAGGGGAGTCAGAGGACCTTTAGCAGGTGCCAAAAAGAAGCTGATGGAGCAGACAATATAATTGATATGGTATACAATGAAGAGCACCACTTATATTCCATGTGTATCACTGGATTGTCTACAAAACTTCCATTTGAAAAGCAGCCTCCATCGAAACAACAAAAGACTATTCAAGCTTCTATGAGTACAAGAAGCAGGTGGAAGACTTGGTGTGAGAGCTTTTCAAATAGGAAATAACATCTCCCTCCCTCCCTCCCTCCTTCCTTGACTTCTTTCTATTGTTCTATTGTAATTATGCTTTCCACATTTTATGGCTGGGATAATATTCTTCTTCTCAAGTTTACAAGTTAGCATTTTATCTGCTAGATACAGATTGCTTTTACTTAACACCTTCCCAATTGCCAAGAAGAAACAAACAACTTTCATGAAAATTGTGTGATTGCACATTAACATGCACTGACTGCATTTTCTTTCTGTATTTTTAAAAATTGTAACACACAATAAGGTTTCCCTAGCAGTCGAAGGGGCTTATGAAATTGCATGGAAACATGAACAAGCACATTCTGCCTTCTATACTTCATGCCGAAGAGCAAGATGAAAGATAAGGAAGCAGGCTAATGTTGACATACAAAGGACTCTGCCAATGGGCAATGTTTAAAAGGAATTATTAAAATAATGAATAAGCCAAAAAGCAGATTGAAACGCATGTCATCATTCTACATATCTGGCTAGGCTTAAGTAAACAAAAATGTTTTTAGCAAGTGACAAAGAGAGTACAGTGAAGGCGTCTTGCCTGATGCAAATAAGCAGGGAGTTCCAATGTGTAGATGCTGCCCCACTAAAAGGTAAGTTTATTACAAATGCTTTACCACTGACCCATGGCCTTTCTTCCCCAATAGTCTGAAGTAGAAATTTGCCCTTCTTAATAACAATGCAACAGTGGCATTGCAACATCTATATTTTCAGGCAACACAGATGTGAAATAATACAAGTGCCATAAACTAAAATGGAAATGTTGAATGTGAAAGTCTGTGCTGTGGTACTCTTCTCATATATGTAGTCATTTGTAACTGCAGTGGTTTATCATATGTGGCTATTGTCTTGTCACTAGCAAATGTCTGTTCTGAGGTTTTTTTATCCTTTCTTTTATGGATGGAGATTAATCATAGAATCATAGAACTGTAGAGTTGGAAGGGACCTTGAGGGTCATTGAATCCAACCCCTTGCAAACTTAACAGCTGATGACTGGAATGGCCAAGGCAACTGTCATAAGATTTTTGAACAGTTGTGTATGTTATTTTAGGTGATTTGGTTATTTTAAAAACCTTGACAGGAGAGCACTGACCCTCAAACATGAACCCTGGATCTAATTCCTGGAGAAGTGTGAGTCAGATGGATAACAAAAACCTCTTCCCAATTTCTGTCCAGCCTGCCTGTTGCCAGCAGCAAGGAATCGGCAACACCTCTGAGCAGTGGTCAGGAGGAAGAATTTGCTCCACAAATGCAGATTCAAGGGGCACAGAAAGTCCAAACTGCTGCAAGGTCTTGTGAAAGCCTGATTTAGAAATACAGTGCCCCTTGATTTAGAAATACAGCAAGCTCTTCAACTGGCATGGCACACAGGAAAGGTTCTTTTCCATCTCAGCTCCGACCTACGAGTCTGAATGAAACCTGCGTGATTCAGGCCTTTATCTCCTCATTTTCATCTGGACAGGAATTCTTGCTGGCCAAGGGCTTGGCCTACATCAGGCCCAGTTGTTGGCCAATTGCAGCCCTTGGAGTCACCACACCCACAAATTTATCGTTAGATGCCCCATTTTGCCTCACATCCTGTTCCAAAGCCTGAGATCCATTTTTACAGCATAGTTCCCTAGCGTTTGATTCTTACCTGCCCCGTAAAAGAACTCACCCTAAAGTATCAAAGTTCATAAAGAGCTTATTTAAAAGCTTTCCAGCTTTTGCACCCTATTCTCAATTCTCAGCTGACTTCTCAGCATAGAATCATAGAATCATAGAGTTGGAAGAGACCACAAGGGCCATCGAGTCCAACCCCCTGCCAAGCAGAATCCAGTGCATCTCCTGCACCTGCAACTAGAGCCAGAAGCAGTAGCAGCCATCGCCTGGGGGTTGGGGGAGTCCTGGCCTGTGAGGGGCTTAACATCAAGCTGCTTCAGCAACCTTTCTGGACCAAGATTATTTCTTTGGGCATCTGCTGTGGCTCAGAGATTCAGCAGCACAGTGGTGGTTGGAACATCTGAGGACTTGCAGGGAGGGGTGGAAGGTTCTAGCACCTTTGCTACCTCTGTGCTTCCTACATCTGCCACTGGAGCCAGAATCTGTGAGGGTCAGGGGCTATAGCAGTTTCTCAGTGAGAGACAAACACCCAAATTTTTCAACTGCCAGTTCAAGGCCTGGAGTTTTCAGTTGCAGAGTGGCAGCTGGAGAACTAGGGAAGAGAAAACCTTTTTACACTTTTGCTAATAACTAGTGCACTATGGTCTATCTCTTGCATTTTAATGATATTGCAAGCCACCCTGCACTTTATTCTTAGACCATATACTCCAATCCACAGTTAAGCCTTCAAAACATTCTACTATATAAAACCAATGCTGGGGGGGGGGGGGAATGCAGTGTTTACAGTTTTTTTTTCCTCCTGTGCTTCTTTCACTAGGTTACTTCCTTCCTGTGCTCATGACATCTTATGCAACTGGAGTTATGAGGCTGATTATATGCAATTTCCTGAAAGGTTTATGAAAATTCATGTACACCTCAGAGGCTATTATCCTCTGCATATGTGTGCATAACTTTCAATGATAATTCAGTCCCTAGGGGACCAATTCTGCCATCTTTCTTCACTCCAAATTCCCTTTGAAGTATATAGGACATGACACAGGCAGTGGAACTTTTAAGTTTAGTATGCACATAGAAAAAACCCATTAGATAGATAGATAGATAGATAGATAGATAGATAGATAAGACTGCAGCAATGCAGGCAAGGAAGTCTGGGATGAACCCCCAGGCATAGGCCCCAGTCATTATACAGATAGACTATATTTCTAAAGCTTCTGAAAAGATTTAGTTAATCACACTCAATTGGTTTCCTGAAGTCTGGTTTGACCAGGTAAAAGAGTAATCCCCTGGGAAGTGCCCAGTTCACATCTCACCTCAACTACAAAGCCACCTCTTGGGCTTTGCAATATGGGAATTATAAAACTGACCTCCCTGACAGAACTTGCAAGTCTTGGTGACAGTGTATTGTTATCATCGTGTTTCTATGTGGTCTTTCTATGTGGTCTTTCTATGTGGTCTTTCTATGTGGTCTTCAGGAAGCTCAATGGCATTAGGCTGTGAAAATGTGCCTGGCCCAAGGTCAACTAGTGAGTTTTGTAGCTTCCTGAGGGCTTTGAACTTGGGTCTCCCAGCACTATTAACAACGACACCACCATGGCTCTTTGTGAAATGCTTTGGGCGCTGATATGTGCCCAATAACTGCTAAGTATTATTATTGTTCATTTCAAATGACAGGTCCATTTCCATTCCACTCCAGCTGTAAACTGAAAGTTGCTCAGGGAGAGTAGGGTGGCTTCAAAGGTTAAGGTACTACAAGATTCTATGTTCAGTCTTCAACATCTGCCATTCAAAGGATCAGGGAGCAGGTGATGTGAAAGGCCTCTGCCTGACACTCTGGAGGATTTTGTCCTGGCCTTCGAACTGAACTGAACACCCTAGAGAACCAAAGCCAGGCTACACGAACCATAGACTGATACAAATCCATATATTCTAATCTCTTGCTTGAGGGACATCAATGGCAACTGAGTGTATCACTTGTACCAAATAAGTCCCTCACATATCCCAAGCCAAAGGAAACATCATGCTAAAAGGCCAACTAGATGTTATGCTAAGATGACATCAGCAACCATCTCCCTACATGATATTCTGTCTTTCCCAAACTCCACTGCACATCATTGGCTGCTGCTGAGGAGTGGGAAACACAAAGCACTGTGATGTCAGGGTACAGCTAAGTTCCACAAGCCATTGTTATAGAGGAAGACGGTGCAGCTAAATGCACAGTTGCTGTTTTCAGCAGTAACTGCACGTCTTGATTCTTAAAAATCCAGGGTTCATTCTCACATTGGCAATCCTTTGAACACATTTTTGGCCACTTCTGAAAACTTGTGGATATGTGTTGTTGCTGTGATTAATATGAGAATCTGGGTCTGAGGAAGACCTGGTATTGTTAGCATCATCTTTGGCAGTGTCAGCTGCCTTGTAGCCAATTCTCTGTACTAATATGAAAACGTTTGCAGATTGGCAGGCACTACTGGTGTCATTTGCACTACCAGATGGAGAGATAGGCGATATCTTTTATAATAGGGAAAGTGTTCTTTTCGCCACACAAGCTTGTACAGCACAGTTTCTGCTACTGTCCTGTTAACATATGAAGGGCAATCCTCATAACAGATCCCCATAGTGGGATTTGTTATCTCTAGAGGTTTTGTTTAGCTCACAGATCTCTCAATGAAAATAAGCATATTCCACTGATGGGATACATTTTCTTCTTTGGAATTAGTAGTGCATTGAGACACATCTCTTCATTTCCATAACAAGGAGGGGTGGGAGGGAAATAAAGATAAAATAAGGCTTGGCACACGTTGCAAAAATTCCCAATTACATTCCTTGGGACATCTTGCAAATCATTCATGCCGCCAGGTTGCTTCTGAATGCCCTTCCCTGCAGTGTTTTCTGTTCCTGACGGATAGCATGCTAAACTACTTCTGAAACCTATCAGACATGCCCAAGAGCAAGCAGCCTTAAAATTTTGCCAAGAATTGAATATTTTTACCCAGCAACCCCTTAAGAAGGAAAACAGGCAATTCTCTCCTGTTTAAGATCACAAGATGTACAGCCTCCTTGGCTTTTAGCCCCATATAATACCAATGAAAAACTTATGGAGGCACAAATTGTAAGCTTGGCTGCAATGCCACCGTGTGAGGTACGATTCCCCAAGGAGACGAGGGAAAGTGTAAGATTCTCTTTGGTCTCTCCTGTCCAATTTTACTTGCTATGTACAAAGTCGCAATAGTCATGCTCAGCTGAATCACATAGTGCGCCTTTTGCTGAGGTGTACGACTGCAGAATACTGGAGTAGGGTCTGATTGGTTTTTGAATACAACATTATCTGCATGAAGATAGCTAGGATGTCAGAGTGACGAGGGCAATGCCAACTGTCCTAGGGCATGGGATTTTAATGCTGGGGACCATTCAAACAGGCAATCCTCAACTCACACTCTCAAGTGATGCACAATCCAGCAAGAGGTAAACCATGTGATTTGGATGGTAATATAGTCTGGCTCTGAGCAAGGAGATATTTCCTACTATGTAACAGTGGCAGCTTAGAAATTGTCTCTCTCTTTTCCACTATGTGAGTTACAGCCAGCCAATGTAAGCAGGATTCCCTGTCCAGGGGATAAAGGGAACTTAAAGCAACCTACTGTTACGGATTTATATGCCACTATACCTAAGTACATCTGCCTGTTTTGTCACAAAGCACAATGTGAAAAATGCTCCCATCAAGTTCTGTTAGAGAGGATCATTATCATAAAGTTTGAAATCTCATCTTCAGGTGGTATCTTCCGCTTGTTAAAAAAATGTGGCAGAAGTGGTTGGGTGGGTAAAGACATGATTTTAAATGGATTTGTTAGCTGATGAGTTTCTAATGAGACCTTTACAACTCTGTATTTCTACTTTGATTTATTTAACATTCAGACACCTCCTGCTGCTCTCTGTGTAAGCACCTCCAGAGCATGGTGCTGTCACAGTGCGACTCTGCTCCCCAGGACAGCTGCAAGCCAAGGATGGACTCTCAGCTACTAGGTTAACAGATGCCTCCGGTAAAAGGAGAAAATCTATCTCCAAATGACACTTTAGGGCCGGATATCTATACCCTTTCAGTAATTTTCCTGTCATACTTGCTTATGTTCAGGGTTTTCCGCTCCTTCCTCCTCCTGGAGTTATTACACTCAGCATGGCAATTTAAGCTCAGGTTATGAAACTCCAGCTGCCTTCTATTTGTTTCCATAAACTGACTTGCATAAAGCAGACTGTAGAAAGCAGTTCATTCCAACAGCTACAAGAGCCCCAGCCAGAAATGATATAGGAGAAGTAAAACTGAGGTTATTGCTACTACATCCTTCTGGGTTGGACTTACTTTCTAGAAAAGAGATGACAGAGGTTCAAGTCTTCCCGGAAATAAAATGGTGTGGCTTTGAAGGCTTCCCCTCTAACCTGTAGTTACTCAATGCCAACGTGGATGATGCACTCTGTACTCAACCATGTATAGAGGACCTCAGTGAGAACTAGGCTATGGTGTCATAGGCACCCTGCTAATGGTGAGAGGAGACTTAGGGCATGTCTACTTTCTATTTGTCCCAGGCCTAGAAAGCATGGGGCTGAGTGGTTTTGCCTTTGCTGCACCACTTTCCCCTGTAAAACCTGCTCTTTAATGCTTAATTGGTGAGAATACTTGGGGGAGCCAGTTGTCATGATGCCAGAGCTTTTAGACATAGGGAAAACTCTCTCAGAATCATCATATCCTCACACATTTCTCTTTGGCCTTCCCCTGCACATTCAAGCACTATGCACGCTCCTTCGTTGCTGGGGTTGTTTCTTGGCAGTATGAGGGAAGGATAGACATCCCACACCCAGGGCAATTTTGGAGGCTTGTTCCACCCTCCTGCCACTTTTTCTACAAGAATACAAGGTCTCTATTATTGGAAGAATCTACTTTCCAGCCCTCCACATTTAGGTGTTTAGAATCCCCACACATGAACATCCCACTATTCCTGTTCCATGAGGCTCACACAGTGGTAGTAACAAGCAGAACCCCTTTGAAGCAGGCAAGTCCAGGCAAAGTCTACCCAAAGCTGTCAGGAGCCTGAGCTATTGATCATGCTACATCTGTAGAGAGCTGTGGCCTCATGTAGGCTAGCAAGAGCCAAGTTGGCTCTGCTTCCTTGTGGAAGTGCCTATGCTGACTTAAAAGGCCTTTGTCGATCTTGTAGTCACTGATTTGTACGCTGCGGAGCAGACGTGGATACTACTCAGGACTCAGCTTTCCCACTTTCCTCAGACTTGGAGGATTATAGCCTCACTCTGGGAAGGGTCAGATTGTACCTCCATTCCCTTTTTTGTACCTTACACAGTGTAGTATGAGGGGCCAGATGCAGGGATCATGACACATTTTACAAATAGATAAACAGATATTGCTACCATATAGAACCACATGCAAGTTTCATGGAGAAGCACAGTGATCTGGAATGGATCCTGGCTAATCCTGCCCATTCTGTCACCTTTCCTTCAATGCAAAACACAAAATACTAAAACATAAAAGTTTGATCTAATAAAGAATGCAATTTACCTATTGAGCAATCCTAATCATTTTTACTTGAGAGTTCCCACAGTTTGCAGTGGACCTTACTCACTAATAAGTAAGTATGTTTAGGATTGGAGTCTGAATTATTGGGGTGCACTTTACAACTGTAGTATTTGAAGGAACTGACCTATCCACATTTAATTAAAATAATATTATATTATTGAACATTTATTTGCTTTCCTTGCCTGGGCTTTCTAAGGCTCTGTTTTGTAAATACACCAGGTAGCTGCTCCTCTTATCTGGCCCTTGCCTTAATACAAAAATATTCTGATGGCATGTAACAAATATATATAACAGGCATTTTTTCATTCAGAAGCACTTCAATGATATAAAAAAGATAAAATTATAGTTGTTTTGAAAATATGTTTGTTCAGTCCACAAAAAGCAGCAGTAGTACCTTTGATAAAAACATACCCCCCTCTCCAAAAAAGCCCTAACCTAAAATGGCTTTGTTAAAACCCCAGAACTGACAAGTTTCCATCCCTCTTGGTAAGGAGATTTGAAGGAAGAGATCCACATTTGTATCTACCTTCTCCACTCCAGGCCTTTACTCCTCTCTATGAGACCCTGCATTCTGCTTCCAGTGATAATGCCTGAAACATTGGCTGTTATTGGAACAGAAGCCTTACCTGTCCCCCTTTAGGCTGATATCTGATGTTCTCTGTTGACCCAATTTTGGACCTGACATTCTTGAGATCAGGGAGAGGCTGGTTAATGAGCCGTAGTTGCTTCGGGGTAGCTGGAGATTTTGGAGGTGTGCGTATGATGGCAACTTTCTTCTCAGTGGACACCAGAATACCAGATTTGGGAGTACCTGGTGTATGGGGGGTTCTGGGGTAGCTGGGGGTCCCAGGAGTGCCCGGGGTACGGGAGGAATAGCTAGGTGGTGTCCCAGGAGTTATGGCGGTGGAACCCGGTGTAGTTGGGGTTGATGTGCCACTCTTTCCTGTCCGGCTTCGAATAGGCTCTGATCCTGTATTGGGGAAAAATTAAACCATGTTGCTGATATTTTCATGGAGCAGAGGACATCTATCTTATATTTCATGAGGGCACCTTGCAGATTATTCACTCTGCCGTGTTTCTGAAGACCATAAAGAAACGTGAGAATGAGCAATAACTTGCTAAATGAGAGCACTATGATATTCAAATCAGTTAATGTTCAAAGAAGGTAATTTAAAACTAACAAGGTTAGAGATACTAAAATAATTATTGCATGGTTCGTAGATCACAGGCTTACGGAGAAATCTATTATAAAAGAGTACACGTATTACTGCTGACCTGAACATTTTGCAGACATATGGTACCATCCTGTGTGGGACTGCATCACCCCTGCTTGCCCATTTTTCCTAGCTTGCTTTACCTGCCTGCCTGCCTGCCTCCCTTCATTTCATCTATGGGTTTTGAATGTTTGTGTCATTTGTACTGATACTGTTTTAGTGATTTAGTTGTATTTGTATATTCTGGCCGGTAAATTCTACTGAATTCCCTCATTTTTTGTATTATTATTTAATATCATACAGATACAGTGGTACCTTGGTTCTCAAACGCCTTGGTACTAAAGCAACTTGGAACCGAAAGACCGCAAACCTGGAAGTAAGTCTTCAGGTTTGCAAACTTTTCTCGGAAGCTGAACGTGCTCTCTTTGACTGTTACAATTCCGTTTTGAGTGCCACACTTCCGTTTTGAGTGTTAAGCTGAGATCTGTCTGTTTTCGCTATTTTCTGTGTTTTTGTTTTTGCGGCTCTTTTTTGTTTTGTTTTTGTGATTGTATGGAACCCAGTTCAGCTGCTGATTGATTACACTGGTCAACAACAAATTTGTTGTCTGCGTTTTTTCAGCTGATTTAGGATGAATCTGATGTGCTGAATCCAAAAATCACATTGGTTTTGCTCAATCAGGTCAAGTTTTTGAGCTATGGCCACATGTCTTTTTTACGTTTTTGTTCACATGTACGCTTGTGTGGAGCATTTTAGAAGAAGTTGGTGGGGGTAAAATGCCTTGTCAAATAATTGTTTTGATTGGAAATGTTTATTTTAATGACAAGAAGTATTCAGGTCCGATAGTTCTGGGTGATTACGTCAAAAAGGGATCAGTTTGAAGTCATAAAACCTCGAAATCTTCCATAAATTGGTCCAGCAAAGCATAAAGTTGGAGGATCAAAACTAAGTTAATGGGGCAGCGGCCCCACGAAGTATCCTGATCTTCAATCAGCACGTCGTCCTGTAGCTCATTGTGATGAAATTCCAGTGCCTATCTTCGGAGAACTTCCTGACATTAGTGACGACGATGCCTCCAGTGTTGAAGGACATGAAGAAGAAGAAGTGGTTCTTGAAGATGATGCTCCACATCCATTTTCCCAAAAGGAGTTGAATGATCTAGTTCGCAACCTCAGCTTGTCAAAGGACTTTGCCGAACTGTTGGCATCCAGATTGAAGGGAATAAACCTCCTCTCTGACAGTGCTCGCATCAGCTTCTTGCGCAACAGGCATCAAGAGTACCTCCGTTTTTTCTCGGAAGAGAAGGACTTGGTGTACTTTGCAGATATTGCGCAGCTTCTGCTCAAGCTTGGAGTGCCACAGTACAAACCCAAAGATTGGAGACTGTTCATTGACAGCAGCAAGCGATCACTGAAATGTGTTCTGCTACACAACGGCAACCAGTTTGCCTCTATACCCCTGGCTCACTCGAGTACACTGAAGGAGAACTATGAAGTGGTGAAGTATGTGCTGGAGAAAATTGGTTATGATCAGCATAAGTGGTTTATTTGTGTTGACCTGAAGATGGTGAACTTTTTGTTGGGACAACAGTCTGGCTTCACCAAGTACCCATCTTTTCTGTGCATGTGGGATAGTAGGGACCGTGCTCAGCATTACACGAAGAAGGACTGGCCTGTGCGGGAGGAATTGGTGCCTTGCAAAGAAAGGAACGTCATCAACTACCCTCTGGTGGACAGAGACAGAATACTCTTCCCACCGCTGCACATCAAGCTCGGCTTAATCAAGCAGTTCACCAAGGCTCTGGACAAGGATGGTGACTGCTTCATTTACTTGTGCCATGCTTTTCCAGGATTGACCATGGAGAAGTTGAAAGCTGGCATCTTTGACGGTCCTCAGATCCGTCAGCTCATCAGAGATCCAGAGTTCGGAAACTCAATGAACGAAGTGGAACTGGAAGCGTGGAAGGCCTTTGTTCTGGTAGTGAAGAACTTTCTTGGCAACAATAAGGCCAGAAACTACACAGAACTTGTCAACAACATGCTGACTGCTTTCAGAAACCTGGGCTGCAACATGAGCGTCAAGATGCACTACCTATTTTCACATATGGACCGGTTTCCTGAGAACCTGGGTTCAATGAGTGACGAGCAGGGGGAGAGATTCCATCAGGACATGAAAGAGATGGAGACCAGGTATCAGGGTCGCTGGGTCATGATGGCTGACTACTGTTGGACTCTGAAGAGAGACCTCCGTGCTGCTGAGCATTCCAGGAGTTCCAAGAAACTCAAGTTCAAGCCCTGAAGTTTGAAAAATGGTGAAGCAACATGCAATTTACGCGTACTTACCTTTATCAATGCCCACCATTCAGTTTACAGAAAACCTGACCTGATGGAGAGAAATGGATGCCATTTCCTGATTCAGCAGTGCAAAAATACCCTAAAGCAGTTGTAGAAATCTAGACAACATTCAAAAAGTAAAAAATCGTTGCCCAGTGTTATGTGACTGCAGTACATTGTTTACTGCTTTCATTTTATGGATTAATGGTCTTGTTAGATAGTAAAATTCATGTAAAATTGCTGTTTTAGGGGTTGTTTTTAAAACAGATTAATCCATTTTGCATTATTTTCTATGGGAAAGCTTGCCTTGGTTTTGGAGTGCTTTGGTTTTGGAACGGACTTCCGGAATGGATTAAGTTTGAGATCACCTTACCTCACATGTGCCTACTCAACCACTTTGATCAATGGAATTTGCACGACTACAGGTGCCACATAGTACTTGTTCAGCACCTGTAAGACCTCGATCATTTAGTGCAGCAGCACCTGCAATTTGGAACTCCCTGCCTATTGAGATCAAGCAGACGCCTTCACTGTACTATTTTGAGACCTATTCAAAACATTATTGCACAGACAAGCCCACCCAGGTTATTAGAAAGGGCTCACCCATGCTTCTACTTATCCAAGTGGTTTTCTCCTTGTCCCGCTCCTTCCCCAGGGAAAACCTGCTCTTTAGTGATACATAAACAACAATCTGGGGCGGAAACCTTCAGATTTCCCCTGCATAAAGCAGAGGTTGTGTGGATAAGCCCATAGTTGAGGTGATTTTAACCTGTTTTAGTATTTTAGTATTTTAACACTTCTATGTTTTAAAGTGTGGTTATATTTTTTTCTTGATTTTATGGTTTTATCTTTTTTTGTAAACCGCTTTGAGGTTTTTTACAATTAAGTGGTGTATAAATTTTATGAAATAACTAAATAATATATTAATATATTTTTAAAGACTATCTACCTCTCTATCTCTCTATTCTTGCGAATTCAACAAGAATGTGGCCTAAGTAGATCTTAAACTCCTTACAAGGTTAACTTAATATCCTCAAAGGAATATAAATAAGAACCTAACTTCTTCTCAGAGTAGAGTCACTGAAATTAATTTGTTAGTCATAGCCATTCATTTCTATGGGTCTACTCTGACTAAAACTTGGTTGAAAATAAAGGATGTTTCCCCACTCTTCACTACTAAATAATCACTTTATTTAGTAATAACTCACTTTATTCTCACAGCAATACAGAAAACCAATCTAGCATCTATTTCCAGGTCCATACACTATGGAGCAGTTGCAGCAACAGGGGTCTCCCCCCCTCCAACAGTTTATGTAGCTTTCCCTGACGGAATGCACACATGCAGATGGAGACTACGCCTGCGTGGAAACTTCCTCTGCTCACCCCCTTTCAATCTGCTTCTGGTTCTGGGACACAGTGGTGCAGGAGAGGGTGAAGCACCGGTCCTTCACTTGCCTGACCTGCCTCTTCCTCCTCTTCTCCCAACCCATCCTGTGCTCTACCCTCCAGTGCTGAAGCATCCCCTGCCTCTGATTCTTGCCTTCTGACTGGTACAGGTCCTCACAAGCCACTGCCTTCCAATCCCAAGTCAGACTCCAGCCCCCGTTTTCCCGGTGCACACTCGCCAGCGTCTTGCCAGTCCCTGACATGATGGAAGGGATGGGATGGTGGATAGGTTATAGGTGGTTCAGTATTAAGCTAAGGGGCATTCTGGGGTGTTGGTGTAAATGAGTGGAGAGAACGTTCAGGAGAAATGTTGTGTGTTAGGGAAACCAGGATGCTGAGCAAGAGCTTCGGGGTAAGAGTAGAGGGGGATATGAGAGTGTGTAAATTGTATGTACAAAACTCTGGCGACCAGCATACATTTTTTCTGTTGTAATTTGTAAATAGTATAAAAGGGTGTATTATACTGTATCATTTTGATATGCACAGAGACCTCAAGAGATTTACACAAAGTGCACCTGCAGGCTAAAGAAAATGTGGAGGGGGAGTTAGAGGGTACAGAAACCTACTGGTGGTCCGTCGCATTGATGAAGAGATGGTGCTGTTCAGGGAGAAAGAATTTTCATCTCGTTCTCTGTCTCCTGACAGGCCCCTCCGGGTGGGTAGAATAGAGGAAGGTCTTGGTAAAGAGGAACGCTTTTCTGGACTCTTGGTTACACCGTCCTAGGAGAAACAATAGAAATTGGGTTTTTTTACTTTTAATTTTTTAAAAAACGGGTAAAATGCAGTTGTTGTGATGACATTTAATTTTCCAGCAGTTTCTCCCCAGCAAGAGCTTCAAACTATGTCAAGGTAAGGAAGATCAGATCAAGCCTAGACAGATTAATTTTCAGCCCCCATGCACCTAGAGGTGAGATTATTACCTCCAGAGGGGATCTAACATGGATTTAACTTTGCTTACAGCATACCAAAGTGAGATGATACAGGGAAAACTAAGTAATTTGGCAGGCTGGGGTAGGGGAGCATAGCTGATTTTAGTTTGGCTATGACTACACTAGTATCAGTCTCAAGTCTGCAGCGAAAAGTCAAAAGGACACCCCCACCTGTAATATTTAGGCCTCATCCTATTGTAGTCTTATGGCAAAAAGCTTATTAGGTTTGTGAACTTTGGTTTGAACCAACTAACAGTTTTTAAGAGTGGTTAAAGTGGTATGACAGACACATCACTGCCTTTTTGCGTGCATGCATTTCTTTGGCAACAGTTGCCCTTAATCAAATGGTGCTTGCATGTTTTTGAGAAAAAATGTTTTAAAATGTTTTAAAGTTTGCAAAACTTGCTTACCCGAGGCAATAATAACTGAACACACTACCTCCAGCACTGAAAAGTATAATGTTTCTCCAGCCTAAATTGGATTTATAATGGATGGATTCCTAGGGTTTTAATCAAACCCTGGGAAGGGAAGCATTCCAGTTCAGGATAGGAGCTAATTATGGGTCCTGTAATAAGAAAGGCAATATCTGACAGTGTTTTTTCTTGAATTCAACAGGGGGAAGTTTGTTCACTCCTGCTCTACAGCTCTTTTGTCAGTGTGAACTATTTGTGTTCAGGAGAAGGGCAAGGGGAAGAGAGTGTAAGCAAACAGATCAGAATCCACCTCTGGCCCTTTCTTTGCTATCACTGACTACATTTACTCTGCTGCCTTACCTGAGCATCTGTTTTTGAATATGGCAAGCAGTCTCTTGGGCCTGCGGAAGAGGGCCTGGCAAAATAATTGTCTGCATCAAGCAAAGCTTTTTTAGTAGAACTTAATGAGCAAGCTGAGCTGGGTCTTGGAGGAAGCAATGACTTTGCTCTAACCTTTGAGGCAGGAATCTTTGACAAAGAAGAAGTCTAGTCATGAGAAAACAAACAGAAGGAACACAACGTGAACATGGACAATGGTGTAAACAGAAAATGCATGCAATATGGAAAACAAACTGCAAAACAAAACTTCTTTTTAAAAAATCACCATGTGTGCATATCCTAAGGTACACATGTATAAATGAGGCTGTTTTATTGCTTTTTTAAAAAAGTAATGTGAATAAAGAGATTGGGAATATTTTTCAGATTTCAAACATGATCTTTTACTGTTGTTCATAAGCATAAGATATGGTCAGGCCACTGGTTCATCTAAGGCTGTCCACTTTGCCGGGCAGTGGCTTTCCATGGCTTAGGATGGGATTATCTCAGCTCCGCTATCTGAGAGATCTCCAAGTGTCCTGATTTTCCAGGGACAGTCCTGGAATTACAAAAGCCACCCAAGCTTCTGATTTGATCTCAGAATGTCCCTATTTTCCCTGCTAGAGCATGAGCCAGCGCTTAATCTGAGCAATGGTGATGGTGGTGGCAGAGAGGAAGCATCCCGTGGCCCCTCCTGAAAAGCAGGTGAGGAGGAGAAGAGGCTGCAGCCGCCAAGGCCCAGCCTCAGGTGACATGCCGGCTCTGGGGGGGCAGGCAGAGGGCAGGGCTGCCCAGGGCAGGAAGAAAAAGGAAGCAGAGCAGAGTGCAAGGAGTCTTGATATGGGGAGTCAAGGAGGGTCACTTGGGGGAGAGTGAGAACTGTCCCTATTTTCATCTGAGGAATGTTGGAGGGTATGTAAGAAGAGTCTGTACCAAAGGCTGAAGTTGGGCATTCAAAGCAAATGCTCCACCTACTGGGCCACAGTCTTCCTCCAGGCCCAGGCTGATAAAAAACTTTATTACTAATGATTGTAACATTTAGTTTCAAGTTATTGTTATCTTCAGGATGCCCAAATTGCTAGAAGCTGCATCAGAAATACATGTGTGTGTGTGTTTGTTTTTTAAATATGGACAAGAAGTGACAACCTAACATACAAACCACTTTGGGAGTGGACACTGATTTTTAATATGTAAAAGTGTAAATAAATGAAGTGTTTCTTCTTTTTAGTGCCAAAATGGATTAAATTTCATATTTTCTAGTTTAACTCAATTATGCTTTAGGCCTACTAAATAAAAGCTGATAAAATTTGAAAGAACTCCCTTGCCGCGGATGAAATGCTGATTAATTTTTTAAAACTTTTCGATTTTCCCGTCAAAATTCCTACTAGGTATTATTTTCTTTATGTCAATGACAGAACACTTCTGTTGGTAGAAATCTGAAGATATTGGACAATGACGATGACAGAATTTGGGAATGTAAATGCAAAAACTGAAAATGTATACACATCTACAGATGAAATGACAAACACTAAAGACAAAGTCTTAAAGATACAACACCAGCAAAACTGTTATCCACCACCAGAGTCATCAAGTAGAATCCCATTTCAGTTTTATGTATCTATATCTATATATAGACACCACTTTAAACATGCTGTGTTTTTGCAAATGAAAAATGCAGGTACAGCTCATTTCCTCATTGCTGCAAATGCAGAACGCAGGTCCGGCTCATTTCCACCCAGCCATCCACAGAAGAAGAGATGTCTATGCAGTCATGTATGTAAATTTTTTAAAAATCTGATCCCATTGAGATCCCAATATGAAATTTTGCAGGTAGCTTTTGAAATATTAAATAATCAATACATTTTTTGAATTTTTAAATCATACTAATTTTTAAAAAGATGGAGCCAGCTTGTTTTCTCCTGCTCTGGAGGGTAAGACTCAAACCAATGGATTTAAGTTACAAGAAAGGAGATTCCAACTAAACATAAGGAAGAACCTTCTGAAGGCAATAACTGTTTGACAGTGGAACGGACTCCCTCAGAAGGTTGTGGACTCTCCTTCCTTGGAGGTTTTTAAGCAGAGGTTGGATGGTCATCTGTCAGGGATGTTTTAGCTGAGATTCCTGCATTGCAATGGGTTGGACTAGTTGAACCTTCCAACTCTATGATTCTATAGAAAGCCTTATGATGTTTTCTGACCTGTTCGGGGAAGTTTTTAATGTGTGACATCTTAGTGTATTTTTGGTCTTTGTGGAAGCCGCCCAGAGTGGCTGGGGAAACCCAGCCAGATGGGCGGGGTACAAATAATAAATTATTATTATTATTATTAGGAAGAAGAGGCTTTGTTAAGCCTTCACAGCTAAGAGTGAAGGATGGGGCCTGCCCTCCACGACTTGATCCCCTTTCGGAGCAATTTAAGGCAAAGAGACTTTGTCCCCCTTTAGAGCCATGTAAGGCACCACAACTTTTGGCAGCAATTCTGTACATTAATTATATGTTAATTATGCATTGTTAATTGGTACCTTGGCAGTCTCTGTGGTACAAAAGCCAAACAATTTGTTTCAACATGACTGAACATGAGCATAATTTAATATGTTCTAGAAAGTTGTGACCTTTAAATAAGGTGTCCAAAGTTTAGTTAAACACACACACACACACACACACACACACACACACACAGGACCAAACCTTTAAAGGGGGCAGAGCAGCCATGTTTCTTTATTCACAGGTCTATCCTATTTACACGCAAGGGAGAGATGGTGAGGTGGGCCTAATTTTTCTAACTAAAGGAGCATGTAGGACGGTCTGAATGTTGTCACTTCTGTCATCTTAGGTGGCTGATTTAGGCCACCTTCCTCTCCAGTCCAGCTCACCTCATGTCAGGCCAGGAGAAAAATGCCTGCAGTGGCAGCATAAGATGAAAGGGTGGAGGAGTTCAGCTTTTGGCAATCTGAACGCACCATTTGTTTTGTTTAGTGTGTGTGTATATATATATATATATATATATATATATATATATATATATATATAAAGACACCCCTCATTTATTTGAGAATGTACTTAGAAAAAGGGAAATCTTTTTGCAGTGGTTGTTCCCCAAGATTTTTCCTCAGACAAAATAAAAGTTTATGCTAAAAATGGGCCAGAAATATCAGGTTTTTTAAATAAAACTTTGGGGACTCAGGGGAATTATATATATATATTACTACTGAGATACTCGCGCACCTCAAAATAGAAGGGGTGACAACTACAGGTGATATCCAAGTAACTCATGCTCAGAGTAAACCCATTAAAATCAATAAACTTAAGTCAGTTGATTTCAATGGATACATTCTGAGTGTGACTAATGTTAGCTAACACCTCTATTTTTGGACAATGTGCAAAGTGTATATTTTCTTTTAACAATTCAGCAAAATGACACAAGCGAGAACTTTCATTAACATTGCTCCATTGAGTCATCAATTTATCACAAATCTGGCTCTGGCTCTAAGCATTTAACAATATTGATTCTTAATGGAGTTCAGAAACTTTAAAACAACATATATAGGTACTTGTTAATCAGCAGCCTACATCCCATTTTCCAGTTGATTTTCATTGTGCAGAGAGATAAACATGTGAAGGGGGTGGGGCGACAACTGTCTGTACGGCACACTAGCGAAAGAAGCTATGATGTCCTTTTTTTACAGGAGTACCTATTTGCAAAACAGCAATGAAATAGCTCCCTGTTAGAATGGTGTACTTTGAATTACAGTTCTCTCTCACTCTATGGCTGTCAGCTGAATAAATGGATGAACTGCCACCCAGCTCAACCCCCCACAAGCAAACCCCATCCACTCTTTTGCATTGATTCCCTCACAGCCAAATACTACTTTCTCTCCCCTCATGATTTTTCCTCTCATTGTTCCTTTCTCTTTTCCTCCCTGCTGCCTATGAACATGCTATTACAACAGGGGAGAAAAAAAGGACAGGGGAGGTGGAAGGCTGTAGACAGGATGAGGTAGGAATCACAATGTGTGCTGGTTTCTTAGAAAGTAGCCAAAAATGTGTAGTGTATTCCATATATCTACAGTTCCTCCTTCTCTCCTTTCACGCTGTGGCCAGAGTTTTTAAACAGTTGAGAGGTATAAGTAGAGAGAGGGGAATGAGTCTTTCTTCATTTTTCCTTCTCTCTCCTTCAAACCTGCCCCATTTCAAGCTTTGCTACCTGAAATGCCTCTTCATGGGGTGGTGGGAGAGGTGATGAGGGAGGAAATAATGAGGGTTGGCAACCAGTAGCCAAGTGGCCACTCTGCCTGTTAAGGTTGCTGCACTAAGACCTTGGATAAAGTCCACTTGGTCCCTGGCCACGCAGGCATTTGAGGAGGATAGGTTGCTGATGCACCGCACTGTGACTAGGCAACCACACGATTCTTTCCACTGAAAACAATCACCTTGTGAAAGGGATGTGGACGCAAACTCGCAGTTCTACTGAACTCATGAGACTTGATCCAAGGATCAAGGATGTGTGACAATAGCTCCAATTGGTGAATGGGTACCTGCATTCCCATCCATACAAACAGATGGACAGGAAAGTGTATCATGCAGGGTTGTCCATGCACTTGCCCTTGTGACTCAGGAGGTCTGCACTTGTATACAACTAGGTCAGTAGTTCTAGCATGCATGTTAGCATGGTATACTGGTTTACATGCTTGGAAGCTCGAATGCTGCCTCTGTTATTTCACCTAGGCACTGAGAATATTCTGTTCTTTAGGGATGTAGGAACTGAGAGCACAATACGCTGCTGCCATGAAAGATACACCAGTGGAACTCCCCTGATACTGCCAAAACGGGGCAGAGCTGTTGGTGGAATATGGATGGCACACTGAAGGGAGCACATTTATGCTGTATCCTGCATTCCTTTGATACACAGCCATGCCCCAATGGTGTAAATTTACACCAGCCCTGACGTGGCAGCCCCAGACCTTGATTTTACCAGGACAAGAATAAGCTTTTAAAAAATGAGCAGCCCCTGCATAAATGGCTGTCCCCATGCCTCAGCCATGTCACCGTGATAGAGCACAGGATATTGTGTAAGTTAGCACAGGATATCCTTCATTTAAGATGACCACAATTCAGATGACAGGGTATGTGACATGGGGATACACCTCTCTGGATCTGAACCAGAGATCTCCAGTATATAAAGCATAAGCTCCTTTGACAATTGCTCTGCTCCTAGTGTCTATGACTGGGACTTGAAGCTAGGGCAAATGTCATGTGCTGTTTCTGATTGCTGAAAAGAACTGCTCGGTGGTGCTTGCAGTCTTGGGGGCACCCTCTCTTCTGCCACCAACATGGCATTTCCCCTACATGAATGTAAAGACTGAGTGAGGACATATCTTCCCCTTTCCTCTAGTGGGCTTCAAATACCTGTCTCTTGCTTCCCAGTCTCATGCATGCCCTATGGAGCGAGCCACTGGAGGTGGTTGCTGCTTCAGTGTGCATCTTGATCTATTGCAGCGGTTCTCAACCTGTGGGTCCCCAGATGTTGTTGGACTACAACTCAAAGCATCCCTGAGCTCTGGCCTTGCTAGCTAGGGGTGATGTGAGTTCAGCAACATCTGGGGACCCACAGGCTGAGAAAGGCTGATCTGTCGGCTGCTTCTGGGTGCGACTTGCACCACTCTCCCAGGAGAGCTGTGCATGCTTTCTGAAGAACCCTTGAGCAGGAAGCTATGTGGTAGCTGCACTGTGTGCTTTCTCCTTTCCTCCCCTTTCCATGTATTGAGCCCATGAGAAGTTTGAACCCGTCTGTACGGATACCCGGGGACACACAGTGATGGGGCTGTTGCTGACTCTGCTGCTGGGGCTGAAGGAAATGGAGTGCTGTGACATTGATCTGTGGGATGTGTGTATGGTGATGCAGGGAATGTCCCCCATCTTAGTGAATTAAAGGATCCCTCTGTGTTTGAGTGGGACATGGGATCTTGTCCTTCATCAGTGTTTCCTGCTGCTTCTGAATTTTCTACTTATGTGTTTTCCCACTTTCCTCCCAGGTTGAGCAGTGAACGTGGTGGTGTATCTTCAGCTCAGTGTAAAGCTGGTATGGGATTGCTCTCATATAATGACCCTGGCAAACTGATTTCTGGGTCAAAGTAACTGAAACTGGGAATGCAGTGCTAGCCCACTTACCTGGGAGTAAGTCCAATTGAATTCAATGTGGCTTACTTTTAAGCAGACATACCGTAGTTCAGGTTGCCCTTTAAATCAGATTTAAATGCAAGTACTTCCATTTAGGGGGAAAGTAAATTGGTCTCCTCCGCACTGGTAGATGGAAGTCAATTGGTAAAGAATAGTGCAATTGAGGTTATTGTGGTTGTACCATATTAAGTGAATCGAAAATTAAATACATAGTTTAGTAGCTTAATATGTTGCCAATCTCCATTCTATAGTGTGTACCAATTAGGAAGTTTTAATAATATATGAGTAATTCTGAAAATCAACTGTCTTAAAACTGGCAAATGGTTCCTAAAAGATTTTCACCTGTCTTTCAGATATGACCATAAAACCATCTGGAATACAAAAATGAATGTGAAAACATGAATAAAAAAGAAAACAAGTCTACTCACTGAAAGTTTTTCCTTTGCTTGCTTAAACACCCCAGGACCTTGGTTTGTTTCACCACCAGCAGCTATTAGGTACACAGAAAGAAAAAGACCCTTAATGGTAATTTCAAACTCACCCTTAACATATTCAGTTTGAATTGCCATGCAATATTAAGACACAAATGAATTCATTATTAGCAATAGCTAATGCTAATTAAAAAAACAAATTCAAACTAGCAAATAAAAAAAGGTTATCTGGTTTTCTCTGTCTTAGGCAAGGATGTAGAAAGCTTTCCAAGGTAACGTGAGTTCTGGATAATTTTGGAATCTTTTTCAGGCAATCAACAACCATAATATCATAGTATCTTTCTCTGCCCTTTTGTGAACATGGGATGAGCAGGGAAACCCCGCTACTCAGATTTTAAAATAGACTCACATTATTTGATCATGATGAATCATAACCCTGGACCGGACCAAGGGCCCAGTTCAGAATCCACAGTTGGTAGTTTGAAATCCAGTGTGTGCAATATATGCTTGTATAATGAAAAATCATTCCACAAGGTCACTAAAATGATGATGAAGAGGGAGGAGCAAGCAAGATAATCTGCACTCCCCCCCTCCCCGTCCCCAAGTTTACTTCCTGGTATTTATAAAACATGCATAGAGCTTGAATGTGCTCTGCTATTTTGATCATCCGCTGATAACTGAGCTGTACACACATTGTTAATAACAGTAGCAGGTAGTGTAGTTTATGAAATGCTTGCTAAGGCAGCTGTTGGGCAAAAGGCATCTTTGAGTCTTCCATTTGTTAAACGATTTCAAATTTTAGTTGAGGCACCTATGGTTGATTCTCATTGGCCTAGGCAAATGTGGCAAGACTTGTTTGCCTACAGTTCCAATGGTTTGAACTCAAGTTTATTGCCAACATGACTGCACTTTTCCTTTGATATGTGACCCTCACTTAAATAACATCCTACCTAAGGACAGATGATAATTTGTAGCGGAGAGTATCAAAGCAGAAGACTAAGGAAAGAGTTTCAGTCAAAAAATATCCGGCAGAGAATGTTCAGTACAAAATGCCTGTATAATTCCCCCCCCCCCCATAAATTCTGCTGCTGTTCACCTTTCCCCATAACAGATACCTCTCCTTTTATTAGACTCCAATCATCCACTGCCAACCAATAATCCAATGCTCTGAAATGGGGGCAAGACACCTTTATTGCTGACTTACCTGAAAGCATAACAACTCCTCCATCTGAACAATGAACCTGGATCATGACTTCACCCTGTCCTTTGGAGTTTGGCTAACAGTTTAATCATGCAAGAAACATATTTACTCCTGGGGCATACACCATGAAATTTAAGGTGATTAAGACAAACCTAATACATGTTTGACCCAGTTCACATAGCCTGAGCTGATGCCCGTTTGCCCTATGATATCAATGTTGTGATGTCACAAAGGAAGAACAGTCTTACATTTTCAACCAATCAAAGTGTGAAGTACAAATTACGACAATGTTTGGATGGTAGTGGTGACTTAAAATGCTTTCTAAAATAATTCTTTTCTTTTCCATTCTGTGTATTGAGAAAGAAGGAAAACCACTCTGAATCAAAATCTGGAGCAACTGCAGGTATACTTGATTTTATGAATTAGTTTCTTTTTCTAGAACCTAAGCTCTATTACCATTCTTAACGCCAATCCTTTGCATGTTTACACAGCAGAAAGTCCCACTGACAAATTTAATGGGACTTACATTCCATGTAAATATGTTCAAAATTACTACTATAGAAAAATATACCTGCTAGTGACCTTTGAATTTGCTTACCCATACAAGAAAAAGAGAATATGAGAAATGTTTTATAAAAAACTAAGAGCATTCTGAAGAACCCATGATTTGCAATTACCACTTCTTTCATCAAAATTCACAATTTTAAAACAAGGACATTAACAACATCAGCTCACAATCCTAGCATTTGAGAGACTTATCTTTTCCTGCTTAGAAATTCGCAACTGGAAAACTGGGTAAAATCCATCAGAAACAAATACAAGGCTGGCCTAATACAGTCAAATAATCTGCACTCTTTTCATGACTAAGAGAAGAGCACTGGCTACCAGCTTCCCAAGATCTCTAAGGCTATCATTACAGGGGGAAGCCTTCCCTGCATTTTCAGCTTTTTCTTTTAAAAAGCCTCTAAACCTTTTACTTATAGACCAAGTTCATAAAGATGCACAAGCCACAGTTGGCCTTGAGACTGTCTGCTCCCTGTTCCCTTCCTCTTTTCCACTTCAGAAGAGATAGAATGTTTTTGCGCCCAATTTTTAAACTAAGCTAATTACAGTTCCCTGTGACAACTGAACTTGGGGAACTACGGTTTGTTTAAACTCTAGTTAGAGAAAATCGGCCAGGATCTGAAAATCACTTTTAGATCCTGGTTTGCTGTCACAAACCATGCAGAAGGCACATTTCTTCAAGCTCAGCCATTATGGGGGTAGGGAACTGTGGATCGCAGCACCAATACCTACTTCTCTTTGCATTGATGATGGATTTCCACATGCGAGGACTAGATCATCTCTTAGGCCTCTCATGTATTCTTTATATTGACAGCTGATCATTGCTCATGTGGAACAGAAAACTGAGGAGAGGCTTTCATATGACAAGTGAGCATTGTTGCCAACACACATGTGCGTGCGTGCCAGCCATTGTTTGCTCAAAACTGCTCAACCAGTTGTTTTTCTCCTTGGGGACAGGGAGGAAAATTTTGAATTGACAGACAGCAGGTAAAAAATTCTCTCCCTCCCTTCCTGCACCTCTACTTAGCCTGAAGCCACCAACAGCTCTTTTTACCTAAGGAAAAAGTCAGGGAAATTAATCATAGAAATGTATACACTGGTTATATGTAGGGTCTCTACTAACATGGAGATTCCTGTAATTCCCACCTCTGGGTTTCTGAGGGTCTGCTGGAGTCAGAGAAAATGCAACTCACTTGGCAAAAGGCTGAATGTAGTTAAAGGCTACAGCCAGCCATCTAGTTGCATTGTTAACATCACCATGTGGTGATCTTTTCAAGCAGAACCCAGTAGTTATAGTAATTGCACATTTTTCTGTCTCAGAACCCTAATCCGGATAGTGGTTACTATATATTGCAGGGATTGGCTGGAAGTGGGGGGTCTTGAATCTGCTGAACTTGGATTCCAAAAAACTCACCTGATTTGAACAGTAGCTAACAGCCAGTATTGGATCATGGGCCCACTTCAGAACCTGCAGCCCTGTGAATTCCTTTATGATGGTCCAATGGATGGGCACTACTTTCATTCCTCTAATTTTTTATTTTTACTTTTAAACTGAGATGATTTGATAACGTTCTTTCACCCTCAGGGGGAATTGTACAGAAAAACATAGTCTCCTCCATGTAAACACAGAGGTTTAAGAGGATTCCCCCCCCCAAAAAAAATGTATGTTACCATGCTGATTTTAAAAGTGTTCCCATTAAAGATCCACCCAGAAACAGGACGGGATGCACTTAGTTCCACCTGCATGCCCTACTGGCATGAACCTTACTTTAGTGGGTCCAACTGTGCCTAATGACTCATTTTGTGAATCAACATGCATAGACCACAAAATATTATGTAATACACTATGTGGATATATTTGCTGAGTTACAGTTTTATTTGTATAGTGGATGAGGAATAATCTGTACAGCTATTTTGAAAATGAAATATAGCCTCCTTTTGTAAAAAAAAAAAAACATAACTGAAAGGCCAACTTTCTCTCAATATAATTTGGGTTAATCTTTTTAAAAAGCTTTGCAGGTTTTGGTTACTACACGGCATTAAACTGAAGATACAGAGATCTAGTCTATTAACAAGAAGAGTTCTTATATTTGTAAGTTATTAAATGACACACCTATTTACAATTTTATATTCTAAGAAAATACTGAGTGGGAATATTTTTCTAGTGCTTGGGTGAGGGAAACATTTTTCCTGGAGTTAGTAGTATCATCTGATGAATTCTTTACATAAAAGTATTGAAAGAGAATGAGGATGCTTTTTATTCTTCTTCCCTTTGAAGGATAGGGATCAAATAATGTTAGTGTGTGAATGTGTGAAGAGGCAGAGCATGTGAATGATCCACTTAAGTTTCCGCACGCAGATCCAACTAAAATGGTGGGGTTGTGCAAATCCAATTCTTTTTCATTTCAATGCAAATCACACAGCGTCGTTCCTTGTAGGTTTGTATCCATTTATGCTTCCACTCGCTGCCTGGAAAGCCCTGTACAGCCCAAGTTTCTGTTCCTCCGAATGACAACAGAGAGATGCATAAACTGAAAGAATCCCCTATTTTCCCCTCCTGTATTGTACAAGGTCCTCATTGGAGAAAAAGATAGAAAGTTATAGATTCATAGTCCTAGTGACTACAGATTTCTTCACTTTCCACTTCCTGGCAAAGCTCACTTCACCCTGAAGGTTTTGTGTTTCAATACATAAAACTTTCAATATACAAAATACGTTAATAGATTTGAAACAGCTAATGCATACAATATAAATACAAGCCGAGCAATGCTGAAATGCTTCTTCTTATTATGCATGAGGAAAAAAAGGGATATAGATGAAAAAAATGTAAACCATGGTTTAAAGCCATTAGCACTTCCCACCAGAACAGAGCAAAATGGAGAGAGAGAAAATAAAACAGAACAAGGCAAAACAGAGAAATTTCTACACCACCACTGTCAAACCACAATGCCAAGAAACAACTACAGAACTTGGGAAATCCAAGCATGACAAGCATACATGATCATGGTCTCTGTTCAAACAAACAAACAAACAAACAAACAAACAAATAAATGCATAATACAAAAAAGCAGTATCATTCATGACAGCAGAAAAAGGTCTCAGAAGGGGGAGTAAGAAAACTAAAATCAAAACCAGAGCAGCCAGTAGAGCAATGAGATTACAAATAATAATAATAACAATAGTAATAGTAATGTCTATGTTTGCCAGCCACGTTGCATAAATTCAAGACAGCACAATCACCTGTCTGCTTCCGCTTAACACAGGAGAGATGAGTTGGTCTAGTATGTTTGATAGCAGGTTTTAAAATGATTTTCCTGGAGGGAGAGTGAGCCTGAACTTCAGCTTTTTTAGAAAGTTCAGCTTTCTTATATACAGCTATAGACAAGAAAACAAGAGCATACAATCAGAAATAAAAAAAACCAAGAAACCGAAATATATTTCAACATGACATTTTGGCTGTTGGTACCATGTTTTAGACCTTCAGTTAGAATGTGAGCCTACCAAGGCCCAGAGATGACACGTAGTTGTTGCAGGCAACAACTGGCCCTTCATTGGGTAGCAAGTGTCACTTTACCTGTCACCACACTCTGACCGTGCAAGCCAGGCACCTTCTGTACAAACTGCATAGAATGAGGGCATATTCCCACTCCAGCCTGCACACTCCTGCCATGTAGCATTGCAATTGTACTGGGCAGCTTCCAAGGCTATGTCTGGAAGGGTATGTGCTATGTTCCACTGGTGCAAACAATGGAGGTTTTTTTTTTTGTTAAGTGACAGATCTGCAGGATCTAGGCCTCACTTTGGCTTGGACAAAATGCTGGACATTAACCAGGGCTCAAAACCCAGTGGAGCCACAGATCTGACTGGTAAAAGGTAAAGGGATCCCTGACCGCTAGGTCCAGTCATGGATGACTCTGGGGTTGCTGCACTCATCTCGCTTTACTGGCCGAGGGAGCCGACATTTGTCCGCAGTTTTTCCGGGTCATGTGGCCAGCATGACTAAGCCGCTTCTGGCGAACTAGAGCAGCCCACGGAAACGCCGTTTAGCTTCCCGCCGGAGCGGTACCTATTTATCTACTTTCACTTTGACATGCTTTCGAACTGCTATGTGGGCAGGAGCTGAGAACAAGCAATGGAAGCTCACCCCGTCGCGGGGATTCGAACCGCCGACCTTCTGATCGGCAAGCCCAAGAGGTTCAATGGTTTAGACCACAGCGCCACCCGCGCCCCTGACTGGTGCCCACTGACAATTCTCTGCCTCTTGCACATGGGGAATAATAGTGGGATATTTTACATACTAGATTCGGCAACTAAGCAGATGGAAAGATTGCCACATGGCTACCCAGAGCACTAGCAAAGTCATGGTACATACGTGACTTCATGCTAGTGTTATTTATTTGGTATTAATGAATCCAAGTAAGCAGAGGAGTGTGGCGGAGTCTCCTTCTTTGGAGGTCTTTAAGCAGAGGCTTGAAAACCATATGTCAGGAGTGCTCTGATGGTGTTTCCTGCTTGGCAGGCGGTTGGACTCGATGGCCCTTGTGGTCTCTTCCAACCCTATGATTCTATTATTCTAGAGCTGAATTCTCATACAGGATGTTTTCCTACTCCATAAAAGAAAGAAATCATCAGCCTAAACTGGAGTGGCTGGAAGCAATGTAGACTGAATGCCTTGCTGTTAACACAAATGAATATTCTTGATTAAATGTGTAACAGTACTGCTAAAATACTCCTATAAAACAGGTGAACAACTCACAGTATGGCATTATAGGAAAAAGATAGTATTACATGAACCTTTTTTCCTTCTCACTTCATCTCTGGAGACAGTGCTAGGTTCCTTTTTAGCTATTTTTCTTTCAGGAGTAGAAATCCTGCCTCTCCCAGTTTTTAAAGGTTTCTCTTTTTTATGTTTATCAAGAGACGGTCTCCGCAATTCTCTCTCTGCCTTCTCCTCTTTAGGAACAGTCTCTAACTGTTCCGTCATGATGCTCCTATCATCATCTGCAGGATCAGAGTAAATTATAACAACAACAACAACAACAACAAAAACAGAATTAGTAAAATGTTAATAGTGCTTCAGTGGGATTTCATTTTTAAAAATCAGATTATTTCCTATTGTCATTATTTTAACAATATTCCTGAATGTGGTAATATTAATTATTATTAATTATTAATTATTAATGAATAATTTCAGAAACAAAAAAATGAAAAAAGGATAAGGCACACCTTGAGTATCCACCCATATGCTGTCTGTGTCCAGGATGGAGTCATCGATGGTTGTTTCATCTTTATAGTCATCATACGTCTCTGTCTTGTAATCAGTCAATGGGATTTCTTCTTGTTCAGGGGAGCCAGGAGCTTCCAGAGAGCTTTCTTTTGTCTCTGCTTCGACATCAGTCACCACCTCCACCTCCACTTCAGGATGGACGCTTTCTTCTTCTGTATCAGCCGGTGGTGCTTCTGCAAAGCGCACACTGTGGGAGCTGGTTTCTCCCTCATCGACTGTGGTCTGCACTATTGTGATGAAGTCATCCTCAATTGTAACCACAGACTCTATTACTCCTTTGAGTTCAGGCATTTGCCCAGGGACAGCTTCACACACCTTAAGCTCTTCACCAGGTATCTCAAAGTCCCTTTCTTTGCTTCTTTGCCTCATCTCTCCTTCTTTCTGCTCAATCTCTTCTTTCTTAATCTCTTCCTCTTGCTTCCTCTTTTCTTCTTCTTGTCTACTCTCTTCCTCATCTTCCTGCATGATCTTTTCCTTCTGCTGTTCTTGCTTAATTTCTTCTGCTTGCTCTAGTTTACTCTCTTCCTCATATTCTTCTTTTTGCTTACTCTCTTCCTCTTGTTCTTCTGCTTGTTTGATCTCTTCCTCTTGTTCTTCTGCTTGCTTACTCTCCTTCTCTTGTTCTTCTTCTTCCTGCAATGCCTCAGTTTTTACAGAGCCTTCCAATCCTACAGATTCCACATTATCTTCCTTAGGCTGTGATATGTTCTCCATTTGAATTTCAGTTGTTTCGTCTTTGGTAGCTTTATATGCACCTCTTTCTGTAACTGGTTGTTCCACTGTCAATTGTGATGCCATCTCCTCTTCCAACAAAGAAGGGCTTTCTAGTTCTAATTTGTCATCATATGGCTTTAAAGTTTCTACAGGCAAGCCCTCTTGTGCTTGGTCATTATCACCACTTGACTCATATGATTCTTCTTTATCTACTGCTTCTTGGTGAACCAGGTCAGGCTTCGCTCCTTTCTCCTTAACTTCAGTTTCAGACAGTTTATTGGCATCTTTCATTTGAGCAGGTTCTGCTTTTGCAGAATCTTGGGGCAATGTTGAGAGGGTCTTTTCTTGACCCTCATCTGTGCCTTGCTCTGTAACAGGCTCAGTGACATGAACACCTAACTTAGTCTGGTTTTCTTGCTCAACTTGCCGAGCAGCAGAATCCATCTCATGCTTTATAGCATCATAGTCTGGTTTATAGGAAATTTCTGCCTTGCCTGTCTCTTCAGCAATGTGAACAGCTTTTTTTTCTTTCTCAGATAATGAAGAACCTTTCTCTTCCAGTCCAACTATATGTTTATCACCTGCATTTTCTAAAGTTGGAGCAGGCTTTGCTTTTTCATGTTCAGTGTCCTCATGGGAACAAACGTCTTTAGAGTCACTTTGTTCCTCGCTTTTTTCTAGCACAGTATCTAGTTTATCAATAGCTTTTCTCTCCTGCTCAAATTCTTTGCCTAAAACTGCTGATTCCCCAGAGGCCTCTCTTTCTTCTTTGGCTCTCTCAGCTGCTGCCAACTTCACTTCTATCAAAGAAAGGTCTGCAACGACACCTCTTCTAATTTTTTCATCAAAGGGACAGCTTTCCCCTGTCAAATTCTCATTGTCCTGTACTGGAGATGGCATTGGCACCGTGTACTTATTGAAAACACAGTAACCTAAATCTTCTAGTTGACTGTCAGCTTTTAGAGTCATATGGTTCTCGTCGGCCATGAGGAGCTGGGCCACTCCACTGTCTTCTACAACTGCTTCTGAAGGAACAGACTTCCTGTGGACTACCTCAGCATCTGCACTCACAGATGATTCTCTTGACCTTGTGCCTGCTAAGTCCAACATTTCAGGTAAATCAGGCACCATTACAGTCCCGTTTTTGTAATAATCTTTAGCCAGGAAGGGTGACTCACACAAAGGCTCCACTTGGATCTCTCCTCCTTGTTTTACTTTGGACTCTTCAGTTTTCTCATCTTCTTCCCTGCTCACTGATGGGAAGGAGGGAGACTTTTCTACTGCTGGAGTAGTGGCTGGCAAATAATCATCACCTTCATCGCCACTAGCATTATCCATAATATCTGAACCTAGTGGTGAAAGGTCATGTGTCCGCCCAAAGTTAAACCCCAGTGCTATAGAGTCCAAGCAGGACATGGGCAGATTAATTGACATACTCCTCTGCTCTATGGCAGATCTCCCACCAAGCCCCAAGCTCCTGCTTAGAGTTAAGTCATCTTTATTTTTACTGTGGAGTTCTCTCTTATCCCCATATACGTTTGGGTCAATGGTGTACATTCTTTCTGTAGGGGAACTAGGTTCCTCAGAATCATCTGGGAAGCCCTGGGCAAGGGTGCTGTATCCCATTTCATGAGCAGGTATGCTGGTGTGTTGATATGCCTCTGGCTGAAATTGCTCAGTGTCTTTCTTAGATATGATGAAATCTTTATGGTAAGGGTCGTAGGTCTCCTCTTTAGTATCACTCAGTTCATAGTAATCATTGCCTTGCTGTAGGATGTCACTCTTGAAAGCTTCATCTTTAAGGGTGGAAGTCTCAAAATATGTAGACATTCCTGATTTATCCTCCTCTATCTGCATTTTGTGAGCTTCTGAATCTGCAACTGAGAACACTTCCCCTTTCCCATCCTTTCCTTGCAGAGATTCTTTGCTGGGTTCAGCAGTGGGTTTCTCTATTGCTGCAGACAATACAGCTTTATCTAAAGGCTCATTTACTTTTTCAGGAAGTAATTCTTGGCTGAGTCTTTCTGTAGAACTCTCTGTGCCATGCTTTTCCTCTTTTTTAATATCCCATGTTGATGAAACCTCTGTTTTCTCCAACTCTTCTTCTGCTTTGAGAGTACCAGATGGCTTTTTAGAATCAGCTCCTTCTACTTCTTTACCTAAAGCAGTTGTTTGTTGGCCATGAGCTTTTAAAAAATGATCATCTAATATCTTGGGCTTTTGTCCACTGGAAATGGAGTACCCCTCCTCGTCGCTTTCATCCTCTGTCATATCTTTCTCTTCCTCCCAAAGAGGAACATTCTGGGTGGGCGTCTGCACTGTAATTTGTTTTGAGGCATGAGAAGTCAATACTTCAAATTCTTCTTCATGTTTTTTTGCTTGCTCTTTGTCAATTTTTCTATCTTTGGCAATCTCTGAAGCAGTAGATATTTGCATCATGTTTCTACTACCATGTGGCTCAGATTTATGTAGAGTAACTGGCAAAGTTTCAGAAGAAAACACAGTTTTAACTGTGCTTTTTTGGCCCACTGTAAATTCTGAAGATGAGAAACAACCTATGCTTTCATGAGAGGTAAAGTCACTTTTTATAGCATCAAACTGGCCATCTCTAGACCTGAAGGGTTGTGCTTCAGCAGCAGGTTTCTGGGCCTCTGGAGCCTTTTCATCTGTTTTACTTTCTTTGTGCAGCTCTGTTGACAAATCTTTCGGTTCCTTATGTAGATGTGGCTCTCCAGTGAAATCAAAATCTGCTTTTATAGAATTCCTGTCTTCTTTCTTCTGTGGACTGGCATCTAAGGTCTGTCCTGCCAGGGTTGGGAGCATTTTTTCTTCTTCTTTGCCGTGTGATTCTGTTGTTTCTAAAGTCTCGGTTTTTGCTGGCTGTTGAACTAAGGCATCGTGTATAGGTTGCTCACTAGTCTTACTTCCTTTCTCTGGTTCCTTTGGGCCTAATGGCTCAGCTGCAAAAAGGCCTGTATGCTCCTCATGGATTTCCATCTTCGAAGCTGCAAGTAAATCTGTAGTTGTTTGATTGGATTTTACAACAGATTACTTAAAGCATTCACAGGCAGCAGCAGACTAGTTTACAGCATTATTTGGCATAGCAGAGTGGTTAAAAAAAGGGGGGTCACATGCAATGGTACCTTTTTAAAGGTCTTTTTTAAACAGATGGTTTTTCTCTCTTTTAGAGGGACAAATCTTTATTTAAAGTATTAATAATAACCCCTGTGATACACGCAAACCTACCTATAGTTTAATGACAAATTATTACGCTTTTAAAATCATAGGCCAGTTTCCTCACAAGCATTACACTACAGATAAACCCAACTTCATCTTATTACGCTTTATGGTACAATGGGTGATATCCAATGTCAGTCATCCTCAGATTAGACCCACTGAAATCAGTTAAATAACTTAAATCTATTGATTTCAACAGGCCTTCTCTGCCTGACAATGGATATCACTCAATGATATAAATTCTGAATTACAGTCATACATAGGCATAATATTTGTGATAGGCTGCACATTATATTTAACATTCAAACCTCTAAATCCATTTAATGATATGATTCCTTTTATTTGAGCTCAATCAAATAATGGTTACAAAGCAATTTATTCACCAATTTTCAGTTATTACAGGAGGAACATTCGCCCCCTTTCATATATTTTTAAAAATCAGATTACTGTCATTAAAGACATTAAATACTGTCTTTGAAATCCAGATGTTAATATAAAATGTGAAGATCTACCACTGATTCAAAACAAAATCAGTGCCACTGCAGCTTCCAGCACATTGCTGAAAAGCTCAAGCCTTAGATTTTCTTATTTAAAACTCATGGAAATTGTAATTCTTCATTTGCCTATATCCTTTGGTAACATTTTATATAGTGATGCCTTTCCTAAACATTATATGCCATGCTTAATAAGACTTTGTTTCCTCAGACAATTACAGGGCCTGCATAATGCAATCTACAACATCATATTACAATCATGGTTACACATGTCTTTAAAAATGTCCTGAAAAATCTTGGTAAAATTCTGTATTCTCAACATATATAATTATTTCAGTGGGAACCATTTCAGCTCAGCATACAGCACAATTTTTATCCCACTTGTTTCAAAAGAAATCAGTTTCAAAAGGAATAAACATTAACACTGCAATCCTGTACACACTTGCTTGTGAGTAAACCCCACTGAATTCAGCAAACTTACTTCTGAGTAAGCATGTCTAGGATTCAGCTGCAAAGTATATATTGTTCTTGGTATCCTTCTAAACCCAGGAACAGGAAATTGAAAAACAATTCATCCCGATCAACAGTCCCATAAAAGGTAAAGATAAGGGGACCCCGACCATTAAGTCCAGTCGTGACCGACTCTGGGGTTGCGCGCTCATCTAGCTCTATAGGCCGAGGGAGCCGGCGTTTGTCCGCAGACAGCTTCCGGGTCATGTGGCCAGCATGTCTAAGCCACTTCTGGCGAACCAGAGCAGCACACGGAAAGGCCGTTTACCTTCCCGCCGGAACGGTACCTATTTATCTACTTGCACTTTGACGTGCTTTCGAACTGCTAGGTTAGCAGGAGCAGGGACCAAACAACGGGAGCTCACCCCGTCGCGGGCATTCAAACTGCCGACCTTCTGATCGGCAAGTCCTAGGCTCTGTGGTTTAAACCACAGCGCCACCCACGTCCCTCAACAGTCACATATTTCTATGGAAATATTTGGTATTGCTTCATTTCCCACAAATGATCATTTTGCAACACTGCCACTATTTTTAATGATCACATTCTTACATCAGATTAGGCACTGTGAGAGACTGAGATAAACCTGTTAAGAACTGTGATCCACACTACGGCTGTGATCCAGAGAACCTGTTCCAAATTGGGAAACAGCTGTCCTTTAGCAGAGCAGTTGTTTCATTTGAACAAGCTTGGAAGCCCCGTAATCCCCCTAGCTAAGTGCCCTATATGCTTCACAGTTCATATAAATCCCCTTGCTTGGAAACACCTTCATCCCAAATTCTGGCTTTAAAAGCGGCCAGCCTGGTGCCTCTGGAAGCTCACAAGCCAGGCATCATGGTGACGGTGCTCAGCACCAGATGAACAAAGGTATGCTGTCTTTGGAGGGCTAACTTTTAGCTAACGCAGCTAGTTGCCACTGAGCAACCTGCTCTCTCTGAACAGGTTTATATGCGGGGAGGAAGCCATCCAAGACAATGGTCCTCATCATATTTTGTGTTAGTTAATTCTGTAAATTATGATTCCGGCAAAGGACTACAGTTGTGTAATTTGACCTTAAACTGCTGCTCATTTAACGTCTCTGGTCGATTTTAATGTGAAAGAGAGGATCGTTTCGCTCTACTCAAGTTCTCTAAGTTTGTGTTTAATGCTGTATACATCTATCAAGTCTAGCCTCCATCTCTTAAGTATTTTCTAAATAGATAGATAGATAGATAGCACAGGTAAGATCTTACATGAGGCTTACATTTCTGGCTATTGCACATATAAGCAAAATTGCACAAAGCCAGAATGACCCCACACCACAAATGGCCCTATGTGTGCATCCCTACTTGTTTGAAGCCAATGTTGAGTGGGCCTTACACTCTGCCCCCTCCCCATGAAAGATGAGATTTTAAGTTCCCCGCCTTGTTTTCTGGGTTCTGGGAAAGCCCTGCAAGTCTCCTACAGGATCTTGTGGGAGCCTTCTCATGAACTTTCTGAGCCCAGCAAGCAAGGCAGGTGGGTTAAAAAGCTCTTTCCATGGTGGGAAAACAAGGAGAGGTTGTTTTGTCTAGCAATAGACATTATTGTACTGATGGAACAGTACTAATAATATGACATTGAATTCCTTCCTATGTGCCCTGACTTAAGGATTTTTACAGGTGAAACTATACTCATTCCTAAGGCAGAACATTGGGCCAGGGCGGATTACACACTATTTACTTACTTCATTGTAAAAGTTGTCATTTTATTCCTGCCCTCTAGGAACTCTTTTTCAACCAGTTACTGGTCAATTAGAGAATTCATCTTTTTAGGCTATGACTTAAGTTTTAATGGGAGTTATTTGTGAGAGATTTTGACAGAAATAATGTTATATGTACTGTGTATCAGATCACCCATAAAAAGGATCTTCTGTGGGTTTTTTAAAAAGTGTGAATAGCAGCTGTTGAGAGGATCTTCGAGTTGAGACCCCTGACTCCAATAGGTGCTATCTGACCTGCAGGGAAACAGCTTGGAAAGGGGTGGGGTTTAATAGGAATTATATCAGAGTGAAGTTCCACTGCTGCAATCCCAATCCAATCCTTCCCCACAGCTCCCATTGCTATTAACACTTCTATATCTAGTCTAGATTGGTACTACAGAACGTATGCTGACATCCTCGTCTAAAAGGTCATATAAGCTAAGCTGATTTTTCTTCAGCAACTTTTATTCTTAGTGTTCAACCATTTCACTCTTAATCAAACTTTCCACAAATATTCCATTAAAAGTTAGACTGAATTCTGGTCCGATTATTTGTGGAAGTGCTTGAGAATATGAGTACACTCTGGATCACAGCCTAATCTGGTTAACAGGGTTAACAGATTTCATTAGGAGGTCAAACTCTGAACTTGTATTTAGTTTTTCCTCAAGTAGAAGAGCTTCATTATGATTTGTTTGACTTAGTAACACAGGATTTCACCCTCAATGTCTAATCTTGCTCTTCATTCTGGTTTCCAAAATATCACGGGAATCCATGCAAATTTTCTTCCCGCACTGGGTTTTCAATTTTCAGCATCAACTTGTAAGAAAGGTAACAAAGATGAAAACAAAAAATTCTGGCAATGGCTAAGGAGGGTCAAGGTGGACTGCAATGAATGGCAAAGATATGACATAAAAAGCAGCAGCCTTGGAGAAATTGAGCCAGAATGTACTGAAGCACAAGCAAAAATACACTGCACACTGCAAACAAAAGACATCGGTACAATTTAAGCCTCTTTATGTCATAGTCAAGGTTAATCAGCTGGTTTCTTGAAATGAAAAGCAGATGAACCTCTGCATCAAAAACAAAAAGTAAAAAATATATACACAGATCAGCAATGTGACTGGCAAACACATCTGCGATGAAGAGGGAGGGAAGGCTTTGTGATATATCAGCTTGGCTGCATAGCATAATGTGTCATGGTTAGGGGGGAAAGTCAGGAATCAGCTGCAGTGGTGGGAAACCATGTCATCATCACACAGCATTTGCACAGTTGGCTTGCCTGTTATGCACTCCTCAAAGCATAATAACAAGAGCATTAATCATGAGGGTATTAAATGGGGGAAAGAGTAAATGGAGCAGAGTGGAGGAAGCTTGAGAACAGCTCAAATGCAGCCAACACATGCAGGTCCCTAAGGAGGACACACCTTCCTCACCCAAGGAAGGCATTTTGGCTTTCAAGGGTTCCTCCTCAACTAGGGTGACATTTTCCCCATTACGTGCCACTTGGTCTTCAGAAATGGAGTCCTGCTGGGCCTCTTTGGAGCCCTCTGCCTGTTGCAAAGGCTCAGCAGGATCACTCATTTTCTCACATTCCTCACCAGGTTTGGGTTCATCAGCCACTGGACCTTTAACTGTGTCTTCTTCTTCTTCTTCTTTGACAGAACAGAAGGGGGAAAGGATGGAAAAATGAGGCAACACCAAGACACACACACAAGATGCACACATTAAACTGGTTGCCCATGTACAACATTTTCAGCTCTGCACAGAATTTATACATTTGTGTCACCTTAGCTGTTACCACATTTTTAGTACCATGAAGCAGAGTGAGCTTGCATTATTATTATTTTTTTAATTGTTATGGCTGGCAATGCCATTTGTAATGCTGAATGTCTTCTTTTTTGTGTTGAAAATTGGTCTGATTCAAACATCATCCGTTCTTGACTGTCAAACCATGGTTTGGTAAACAGCTTCCATGATCCTTTCCCTCATACTTCTCCCTCCCTTCTCTAGTTAGAGTTAGCAGTGGTTCACTCTTATA